GATTTAGGAAGTTTAGATACGCATCTTGCCCGGTTAAAACTCAAAAGAAAGCAATTGATCTGGGTAAGTAACAGTTCTAAAAAATATTACAACAGTTACTCCTTCGATAATAACACAAAGTGTATCCAATTCTGGAAAGGGCTCCAAGTTCCGGTCCAAATTGCACCTTTCCAGTTCAGATGAGCGTATCAACCGCCAGAGGATCAAATTCGATATGGCTGTCGCTATAATTAAATATCAACTTAAACAACACAATGCAGTTCGGGAGGAAACATAGAAACTCAAAAAAGGTACAAAAACTAGAAACTATAACAAAATAAAAATATTAACATCCCAAAATGGGATTAAACAGACTACCAAAAGGTAGAACAGAAAGAGTCAATAAGAACATATTGCAAATTTATATATGGAGGGATTTTCCCAAACAAAGCTTCCAAAAAGAATTCTACACATTGGTTTCATATAGATAACTGAAATATTCCACATAAAATGATGGATAGTGATTCAGACTCAGCAGTGTACAGTACGAGAGTTGGCGCAGGTTACGATGGCTGCGTCGGGAGAAACAGCTGTTGGTTTAGAATCAAAGTAAGGTAAATTCAGTCCATCATGTAACAAGAATTGATGAGGTAAATGTGCAAAGATGTTCTTGTTGATATTCGTCAGATAATAAGTTCTCAGGCTCCTAAGTAAAGTAACCAACTCTTTGGCAATTATCTAGACTAATATTTAAGGAGTGTGGTTAGGATCTGGAAAAGAGAAGGACATGAAATATTCTTTTTTAAAGCTGAGTCATGACTCAGAAGATAATATTTTTGGATAACACAAATATATAATTACTCAGACTTTTCTATGTCTGTATTAGAACACTAAATGTACATCTGCACGAATTTAGGTTAATGGTGACAAGTCACTAGTGAGATAAAGAATAGGCAAATAATCTTATGAACAAGGGAAATTCACAAGAACTGAATTGCTAGGAATCATGATGAGTTACAGGATTTTATTAATGAAGGCATAGTAATCTGATGTTTTCGTGATATTTCACTTATCGTTTTTTTCAACGCTGTAGCTCAAGAAGTCATGAATGAGTTCTTTTTCATCAAATCTACTTGTAAAAGGATTTCTTGGTAGGAAGTGAAACCAGCTCTTGGTTACAAACATGAGTCGTAGACGTGGTTGCTCGTGGAAAAGTGACATCAATATAATTGATTAGTTACATCCTTATATGTCGTAAGGAGCCGCAATTGAACAGAATGGTCAGCCCCACAGATATGAGTAGGTTGGAGTTGAATGCTGATCAGACACACCACCTTCCCTCCTTCCGTGATGTTAGACTCTCTTACGTTTAACAGTAGATGTTAAACAATAGTTTTCAGTCTAAACTGTATTATTTGTACACCTTGTCAGAATATACTTTCTCTTCTAGCGCCACGTTACAAGCAAATCAGGCAACTCCGGCTTCTGTCAGTAATAAGGAAAGAGTGTGAAAATTTCACGATTAAGGCGTTAAATAGATAAGAAAGCGAGGTGCCTGAAAGTTAGCAAATTAGGGAAATAAAAACTGATTAAACTATTAATCCAAGGGCAAGAAGGAACTTACAATGAGTTGGGGTTTCTTGTGATCAACAACAGTTGAGCAGTATCTACAGGATTCCAAATATGTCTGTCTACTAGAAGTAAAAATTACAGTTGCTGTGAAAAATAAGATAATGATGAGAATTTAAATTTTAAGAAAACTCTGAATGTTACGGGTAGCACCTCAAGGGCTTGACCCATTACTGACAGTAAGAGTAAGGGAATTTGTCCGTAATTTCGTGATAACTGTAAGAGTGGTAATGGGGGTGCAGTATATTCATGGTCTGTTATTAGTTCATAAGGTTAAACTAAATATTTGGTGGACCTAATAAGAGTGCCTCAGGATTCGGTGTGAGTTCTGGAGAAAGTTAACAAATCTCTTCAGAGCCTGACAACAGAGTTACTAGTTTCTTGAACCTGGCGATTGTGTCATAAATACGGATCGGATTTGGTAGTCTGTTCCAGAATAAACTTTACTAGATTAGAAAGAAATTACTACGCAGTGACTTCTTGTGTTTTGCTGTTAGTAGTGATGTTGTATTATCGCCGCCTTCACTACTTTCTCCATCACCCTAGATACTATTGAGTTATTGTTAATTGGTCGGTAATTTTTACCACTCGCTGTAGGGCCTGATTTAATTTTAGGGATGATATATTTAGTCTTCCAGTTAATAGGGTAGCACTTTGTAGAGAGTGATACGGTAAATAGTTTAAGAAGTATAGCAAATAGATCATTGCTTCCATTTTTAAGCATGCTCGCTGGTCCTCCAATGTGAGAGTGTTTCAATCGCTTTGGAGATATTTTGCACTCTGAAGTCTACACTGGCGATTTCACAGGAAGGCTTTGGGTTCAGCTGTGATTCATTTATTGGGTTTTCGTTTGTTTGTGAAGAGATGCAAATGTCTTTGTATTTTTCACAGCCCTAGATTTTCAGAATCTGACTGCATTTGTTATAGTTCTACAGCAATGGAATAACAGTGCATCTGCACGAACCGATTCACCGAATGGTTCTTGGTGCGGATGTGTCACTGCCCACCATTGATATAAACCAGCCAGAAAACAGTTACTTGCTGGTCCACACCAGCAAACGAAGACTAAGGACCATCCGATAGTGCCGAGACATCATTGACGAGACGTCCTCAATAGGTTGCTCGAACATTGCCATTCGGGTGTCCTAGCAACCACCAAGTTGATGGTAGAAAAATTTTCCTGGTACGACCGAGGACATGAGGAAGTGAGCAAGCTATTTTGTAAGCCGCCAGAAATCTAAGGCATTTAGAATATGTTTCTCTTCAAAAACAAACAAGGTGGAACATTTTTATTATGCTCACACACATGAAAATATTCTGAAAAAACCAAATAAGAACCATTTTTGTATAACTTTCTGGCGGTCACATAGAATACTGACGCATATATTCCGAATTTCGTTTGCGCGTTCTACTCGCTTATATAATTACTACTGTATTTTAACATGCACTTACATTCCCGTTTCTTTCTTTTTCAGGATCACTAAAGCATGGCTTCATGGAATGAGATAAGACTATACGCTGCTGGGCGAAGCAAGATATTGGAAGAGTGTTTGCTACGCATCACATGTGTTAAGTTTAACAGTTTGGCTGGTCGCTTATTAAGGTGATTACTGTCCCAATAGAGGAGGATGAGTTGTAGTGGTAAACTAATCCCCAAAATAAGTAGTTCTGTATCTCTTCGGGATTGATTCTGATTTATTTAGTTTTACTAGATACACCTTAGCTGCAGTCTCTCGGTCACCCATCTGCTCCACACCAACGATGGGTACAATACGCTTCGCACCTCTCATACCAACTAGGCAGACTTACTTTACTCACTCCCAATTATAATTCATTTAAACCTCTGATCCACCTCATTCCTGACCTTGGGTTTGAGTGGGTACTCCCTATTTGAAAGGTGTTAAGAACAAAGCTTTATCCCTGATATACTGAGAATGCCCCAAAGAAAGAAACGGACTTCGTCATTTATTGTGCGGATAAAAATTACTGGATCTGTACGTTAGAGTCACCAGTTTAATGAGATCAAATGATACCACTTAAAGTAGTGAAGATTCAAACAATAAAATGAAGTAAAAATAGTCGTTTACATGGCTTGATACTGTTGTCTTGGTTACGAACGAAACCTATACATTCAAGGTAAGCAACCCATCTCGATTAGAGATGACACTTATTTACATTCAACAATGCACAAGTGACTTGTTGTAAAGAAAACCAATCAAGCGAAAACTGAATGTAGTACGTCGGAATGAAATTTCACAAATCTTTTATGTGCGTAGTGTCAAGTTGAATACCTTTATTTTCTCGACCATGTTCCTATGTTCCATCTAAACTCATATGAAAACCATCAACTAGGGTTTGTTCAATATTTGAGCTCAACACTTCATTTTCCTAACCGTCCTAGTAGTTGAAAATTCTCTATTTCAGAATGCGAATGATCATTTTGCCTACTCAACAGTTAATATATGCATTATCAGTTAGTATTACGGTTTTGAGTTGTTAAATTGGAAACTAGTTGTTATGCCTCAGCTGTTCAGTTGCCCTCTCGATTCGTTCTAAATCATAGGACTCAATATTTCTGAGCTATCCTAACATTATTTCAAGACACTTGCAGTGTAATCGCGTAAAAAAATGCTCTCCGCATTTTGTATGTGAGACCAGATATGGATTAAGAAATTAGCGAATAAAAGAATCATATCACTCGTAAAGCGAAAGGACCGGAACAGACCAAACGGGTCTGGGATGGGATGGTAAGATATTTTTGGACCCGTTGTTTGATAGGTGGAGTGATACAGCCTCACCCTAACCTAACGATAGTTTCGGCACCAATAATCCTTTTTTTGATCACTCGGGAGATGTTAAAGAAATTTCAGAAGCAAGATGAAATTTTTTGGGTCCAAAATTTCTTCTGTTGTAACGAGTTCTCATACAAAACGCGGTGTCAGCACATCCATCTTTTTCACGAGCTAGTATGACCCAGTTGATTTCTTCGGGCTCTATTCTTGTTCTTTCGGTACGGTCAATAAGTTTTAATTTAGACCATGTCATATTGAATATTGGGTGAAGCTGCTAAAATGTGTGAGAACCAGTACAGACTATTTAAAATTTCTATTCTTACTACTTAGGTCGCATTTTGTTTCTTTAGGTTAAGGAACGATCATTATGAACATCTGCATTGTTTAGATAGTGGGATATACTCAAGTGATCCACAATGGATTGGAGTTTCACTGTTTTCTCCATTTCTGCTTTAAAGAGTTTGAATGGTGGAAGGTCATACTTTTTTAACCTCATCAACTCTGTAGGTTAGGGTCTAAGTGCAATTTTTAAGTAGTCGAGGTCACGTTTTCGTCTTACCGCTGGGTGTTATTGACGGGAACTTGGTTTCGTTTGTGATTATGCCTATTAAAAGGGGTCACATTGCACCACACAACACCTACATTGTAACTCTTATTAGAAATTTCGATTCTCAATGTAAGTTAGATCAAACTTTCCTGTAGTAGGTCAGATGAAAACTTTATCGTTGCAAATGCCACACTTCCTTCCAGACCAATTATATACTGTAGCGATGGATTTTGTGAGCTTCTCCAATATACGAAAGGCCAACTTATGCTAAAGTCTTCAGCTTTATCAATTTTCTATGGACCTGAAACTACAGTTGATTCGATGGAGGCTTTGTTGGAAGCGCTTAATCAGACTAAAGAAACCGAAGTACTTATGAACCTCTATACCAGAGATAGTAGTTTATTTTTTTCTGTTACCAGTTTTAGATTGTGTTATATATTTCCGAATAGTTGTAACTCCTGTTCGAGATGAAACTGGTGGGTTGCCTCTCTACCTCCTTTTTTTTAGAGAGGAGGTCACTAACACGCAAACCCTCTCACAAATCAACAAAGGTAGCTGGCTCAGTTGATTTTACCATTACTTTTAGGATCAGGTTTACGCACAAGATGGCAGCTAAAATCTTTACGAGTAAACAAGAGTCCTAATCATGTCCCGAAAACTTCCATTCGAATAAACCCGTCAAGTACTCACCTATTTTCAAAATTATATATTTAGAATCCCCTAAACCCTATTTAGACGCCAAAAAACATTTTAGAGATAAAAGGCATGATGCATGTGATTCGAAACAGGGTTCCGTGCCTGGAGGTAAGTTCTTTTCATCTAAATGTTTGTTAAAATCTAGAGCGTTTTCACTAGATATCGGTAAGGCTTATTAAAGCATATCATTGTTCTATGACTTTATTCGTGACTAAAATCGTTTGGAGTTTTATGGTCTTATTCTTTCTCTCCAAGGTGCTATAGTAAGCGGACAGCTTTGTGTACTAGTCTGTGTCGACGAGTAATGCTGTCACGGTCTGCATATGGTACCATTATACATTGTGCTTAGCTTTCCGGTAGCGGTTGACTCTATATGAAACAAATTTTAAGCTTCGGGAGTATTAGGTAGTAAAAATACCCACTGTTTTCATAAAATTGCTTTCATATAATGACAACATTTTGTAATTCACAGTTTGCTTACAGGGATATTGGAAATTACTGCATGACTCTTCCCTAAACGATGTAGTCAGCCATCTCCAAAGGATGCTATCTAATATTAAGACCCAAAAAGCCAGCTTGAACATCTCTTGGTCCGTCTTGATAACGTTTGTTTTGTTTGTTTTAAGAAGCATACCTTGTATTGTATATGCTTCAGATTTTAACGATCTAAATCGTGATTTAGCATTGTGAATTTCAACTGAAGGATGGGATAATTTATAAAGTGAAGTAAAGTCTTCAAATTGTGAGCATTGTTAATTACCCTTAAATATCTTCGCGCCATTATTTTGTGTGCATTGACTCAAACATGTACGTTGTTGTACGGGAGATTACATGATACGCATTATATATATATATATATATATATATATATATATATATATATATATCAGAAGTTGTAAACAATTTCGGAAAACTGTTCCAAACCGTTTGGTTTTGTAAAAATAAAGTGCATCTACAATGCCAACCGCTTCCTAAAAATATAAAAACCTCCGAATCTTCCAAAGTGGTACTTCTGGGTTATTAAAACATAGCTTTCTGCCAGTCATCTCTCTCATTATCCTTGACTTCTTATCCGTTTCATACTACAGCTAGAGTATGAATTTTAAATGCAGTAAATTATTTAGCATCTTAAACTTGAGTGCAGTAGGAAAGTTCCGATTACTGAGTAGTAGTTCTCATTTGAATCCGGGTATAAACACATCCATCTATAATCTGCACTTTTGTCAGTGAACTCCGACGATAAGATGAAAAAGTATTCAACATCGCGAAATGTATCAGTTTAGAAACTTAGTCACATATTTGTAGGATAAACTTGTTTATACGTGTTATTTTTAACGTGTTCAATCAGTAAGTCAGTCAGTTACAACAGAAATTCGTACATGAGTACATAAGTCCAGGTTGCCAAACCGTATCAGCAAAGACACGCAACTGTCAGTTTAAATCCAAGAGTGATAGCGATAGTAGAAGTATTAGCAGTAATGGAGAAGATTATAGTTAGAAGATATGATTCGATAATTATAATTCAGTGAGATAAATTTAGAAAGAGAAAGTGACGATGAGGATTTCAGGAGATTAGAATTTCAGAAAATACGAAGAGTGCATGTACCTGCGCCATTGCAAACGATTTTGAGCCATGTCGTTCAAGATCTATAACCATCGGTTACAATCGTCTCGCGGACCCCATCAAGGTGGCTTTCTGTATGCGTTTGTGCGGGAATATTGTGCCATCACGCGACGTCATAATTCTTCTTCCAACTCCCAGGGGACAGTTAAAATGGTTTGAATTATTTTTTCTGGTCAGCGTTTTTTTGGCAGGTTAGTTTTTGACGGAATGGGGTCGTCAACTCCATGCCCAACCCCCCTCCTTTATCCGGGCTTGGAACCGGCAGTAGCCCCGAAGGTTCTACTGGTGGAGTTAGGAGGTCCGAAAGCTTTCTGTAAAACTCATGTTTCACCTCGTGTGAACTACAGTCAATGGGAGCATAGGCATATACGACGAAGAGGCATCGGCGCGTCTCCCTATCTTTCCGAGTCCGTACTGTCCTGTTCAGTCGGATAGTGTGCAAGCGACTATGTACTAGGATCCAGTCAAGGAGAGATAGATCAGCCCTGGGACTCAATGCTATACCTACGCCAGCGAGACCACTGGAATCAGCCTCAGGGCTTCCAGATACACGAAGAGTAAATCTAGCTGCTTCTTTATTTTGACAAGGTGAAATCAAATTAATGATTTTACTAGGATCCTGTATGCGCTTTTCTGAGAGGCAGCATACATCGATTGAGCGAGATTCTAATGTCCTAGCTAAGGAAGCCTGTTGCCCTATTTGACACAATGTCCGGACATTAAAAGTTCCAACATGTAGTTAGAGCGGGGTTTCAGGAGACCAGGAATTACATTTCATGAATTCACGTCGTTTGCATTAGCGGTACATGGTGACAAAGGAATATGAGGAGTGTTAGTCGTGGAGATAAGAGAGATGTTTGAGGATGTAGAAAGGATTTGATTGTGACCGATTTTGTCTTGTGTGTTTTCATGGGAGTGAGGTCGGATGCTGCTTCCCGGCTGCCCACACCGTGGAAGGGTGTTCCTTGGTGATGTTCTTACAGACCTGGGAGAGTGACCGTAGAGCCTAAGGGATAACTGCTTGAAACGGAAATCCGTGAGGTAGGGTGAGGTGTGACATTTTTAGGGTTGACATTTTATAACGCCTTCCTTCCTTGTGAGAAGGCAGCATCGCTTCAGATGCTGGTTGTCCAAGGTAAACATTGTGCGAATATTCCATGTTCCTATATAATTGTTGCTGTCTTTCTCAGTTTTGGCGTCAGCCTCTGAAGATCCGGCGAAACTCGATTTTCATCTTGAAGCTTCATAACTCATCTAAAGGAAGACCTTCTAACTCCCAGTGCAGAGTTCAAATGGTTTCAATAATTCCTTTTCTGGTTAGGGCTTTTTAGTAAGTTGTTTTTCTACGTGATGTTCTCGTTAGCTCCATGCCCATCCTTTCTCTATCTGTGCTTGGGACTGGCACTGACCGTTGAAGGGCTTTTGGCGAAATGCTTGTAGTATAAAGCTGTGTTGAAATACTCTTCGTTGTATTTCCTGTGGTATAACGCTATCACTGTAAAGGCTACCAGTATATATCGCACAGATTATACGTTTATCAGTATCAGCTGCCTCTCACCCACCCACTATCATTTCAGCAAATATCTCGGAAAGCATTTATTTCTGGAAAATAAATTATACTGATAAGTAAAAAACTTTCTTAACTGTATATTTTCTATGATAGGCTATGATATTCTGTCATCTTTGCTTAATTTTAATTTCTCATAAAGATGTTTCAGTGGTCAGTCCACAAAGCTTATCTTCAGGTGATAAGATCCAATTTCTTGAAGATTATCCAACTGAGTCTGTATCTGGTCAGCTTAAAGAATGTCGCCCAGTTTCTTTATTTTCGCCTAAAAGTCAAGACGATTCACCTAAAGAGGAATCGCCATCAAAAACAGATCTTTCGGAAACCCAGCAAGGAACTCCTAAATATCCTGAAAAATCTAAGCGTAGACCATCTACGTGGTACAAGGGTCACTCTGAAGATGGATTTTCAGAAGCAATTCATGGTTCTACGAGAAAAAGCCGGCACTTACATCCAACTGCTGAAGAGTCTGAGGCCCTTCAGTTGGTGCTGAGTAGTCATGCAGAGCCACCAAAATCGTCGGTTACTGAGAAATTCGCCCAAGTAAATAAATTCTTATGATTAGAAATAATCTTTTCAGTCAATACGATTTTAACTATTTGCTTTTGCTAATATTTTGTTTAGATTAACCTAAACTATAGATTATTCACTCTTCCATCTACTTTTCCATTATTCTAATGATATCGGAATTGGGAATTTGTCTTATTAGTCGCAATTTACAGACGGTGTTCTACTAAATGATATTTAAACAGTCAGAGCATATTATTCATTACTTTTTATATCTCAGACGTCAGCTATAAGTTATGAATAGCACGTAGGGCTCGGCACAAATACGCATTGAAACAACCACATCAATGATAATCAAACACTAAACAGAGAATTTATTTCGAAAAAAACAAATGAAGTTAACGCATAATAATACATTGGTGACCTTGAGTGACTTATCAACCAATCAGAAAATACCGCCTAGTTATGAAACAAATAACAAACTAAAGCAATCAAATAACAATGAAATAGTAGGTTTGATCTGAATAATCAACTGTCACATATCGAATTGATCTTGATTGTCTGGCTCGAGTCCGCAAGCAAATTATACTTTACCATGACTGAAATTGATAGGTGATAAGTATGAAGTAGCATGATAGCGCAATATTTTGGACTATGTCAAGAATATTAACAACTGATCCACGGTAATCAGTAAATGAGTCATACCATCTTTTCTAAACTATAAATTATGGCTTTCTCACAGACATCTATTCAGAAAATATAAGTTTTTTGAGATTGTTCAAATCAGCAATGATTGATTGTATAAAATAATGGTACATCTTTGCTTGAACATCTTTAACTTTTTGCTAAACTCTACTCTACTCACTATTCCATGAGTAGTTGGTGATCAGTCAGTTTTAACACATTTCAACTACATCATTTCATGAAAGTTAATCAATTCTAATTAATTTACCATTTCTATTTAGTTCTTTACATCACAACAACCATTAGTCAATAGACAATAATTTCATATGTGAAGCAATGTTTAGTAATCTATGCATGTTCTACTTATTTAAGAGGTATAATTTACAATTGGAAAATAAAATAATTCATAATACTACTACTGCACAATTCATAATGTAATAAACCAAGGAATAAATTGTTTTTTAATTATCATAATTATTAATTACTACTGATTTCCACTGCTTATACAATAGATTGATGCAATTTATGATGGAATCTATCACGATAAATTACTCTAAACAATTATTCAATTAATTCATTAGTAGTTGATCATTTTTCTTCCTTTCAAATGAATCTATCCATCCATCCAGTATACATAAATATGATTCATTGTGTATTTTAAAGTTATTATAAAGTATATTTTAATATAATTTTGTTACATGAAATAACAATCTACTTTAGAGTTATTCGAAGCGATTCCAATTTTCTAACTTTATTGTTTGTAGAATGAGGAAAAAAAATGCCTCTTAAGGAATTCGCTCAATCATGCTTTTAGTCATATATATATATATATATATATATATATATATATATATATATATACCAGCAGTCGCTTGATGATAGTACCTGGTTTCCTAAGTTGAATTAAATAAAGAGAATTGAAATCTGTGATCTACATCCCAACTGATTATAATGTGTTTATACCTCTAGATTGTTGAAAACAACTCGTTAGTTCTCTCATTAATGTAGTTGCCTTCAACTGTTCTATATACGTGCTATTAGGCTTCTCATCAAATCATATGCATACTTTTGCTTCTATATGTTTACTGGCTAATTTTTTATTATTATTTAAATAGAATTATTGGTACTAAACGATATCTAAATATTTATGCGCCACACAAATCAATGAAATTTTGTGTGGACTACCTTGGTGTCCATACCGAATCAGAGTTTTCCAGCTCCTTTTTGTAGGTCTTCCGTACCTTGGACAGCCAGCATCTGCAGTGATGCTGCCTTCTCACAAGGAAGGAAGGCGTTATAAAATGTCAACCCTAAAAATGTCACACCTCACCCTACCTCACGGATTTCCGTTTCAAGCAGTTATCCCTTAGGCTCTACGGTCACTCTCCCAGGTCTGTAAGAACATCACCAAGGAACACCCTTCCACGGTGTGGGCAGCCGGGAAGCAGCATCCGACCTCACTCCCATGAAAACACACAAGACAAAATCGGTCACAATCAAATCCTTTCTACATCCTCAAACATCTCTCTTATCTCCACGACTAACACTCCTCATATTCCTTTATCACCATGTACCGCTAATGCAAACGACGTGAATTCATGAAATGTAATTCCTGGTCTCCTGAAACCCCGCTCTAACTACATGTTGGAACTTTTAATGTCCGGACATTGTGTCAAATAGGGCAACAGGCTTCCTTAGCTAGGACATTAGAATCTCGCTCAATCGATGTATGCTGCCTCTCAGAAAAGCGCATACAGGATCCTAGTAAAATCATTAATTTGATTTCACCTTGTCAAAATAAAGAAGCAGCTAGATTTACTCTTCGTGTATCTGGAAGCCCTGAGGCTGATTCCAGTGGTCTCGCTGGCGTAGGTATAGCATTGAGTCCCAGGGCTGATCTATCTCTCCTTGACTGGATCCTAGTACATAGTCGCTTGCACACTATCCGACTGAACAGGACAGTACGGACTCGGAAAGATAGGGAGACGCGCCGATGCCTCTTCGTCGTATATGCCTATGCTCCCATTGACTGTAGTTCACACGAGGTGAAACATGAGTTTTACAGAAAGCTTTCGAACCTCCTCAAAAAAGTTAGACACTCTGATATAGTAATAATGACTGGTGACTTTAATGCTCAAGTAGGTAGACTAAGAGAGCAGGAGAGACACCTAGGTGGATCTTATGGTCTCGCGGCTCAAAGAACAGACAATGGCGACCGTCTGATACAACTATGCTCAGATAACGGCCTATTTCTGGAAAACACTAACTTTAAACATAAGGAAAAGCATTTTTTGACGTGGCCACTCTCGAAGTCGTCTCAACGTTGGACCCGACTAGATCACATCGCCATCAGCCACCGATGGAGGGGTTTAATAGAGGACTGTCGCTCGTCCTGGATCACATGTCTGGATTCATATCATGCTCTAGTACGAGCGCGTATTTGTTTGCGTCTTACCAGACGTAGGAAAAACATCTCAAGGAAACCTATTAGGGCTCTACTTAATGATAATAAAGCTAAGAATATATTTCAAGAGCAACTAGAAAGATAGTTAGGCGGCCATGTAAGTGATTCCCATCCGGAGGCAGCTTGGAATTATACTAAAATGGCTGTGCAAACAGAAATCATATCTGCTAGAAAGGTAGACCATAAGGCTAGGAAGAAGCTGTGGATCTCAGTACCATACACCGAACTGATGGACGCTCATAAACTCATCCCACCTGGCTGTGAGTGTGATGAAGAGCGGAGTCAGCTTGACTTCAGTGTGATGAAAAGCCTACGAAACGATCGTGAACAGTGTTGAGTAGCGAGAGCGAGAAAGATGGAAAAGCAGCGACGATAGGCAAGAGTAGACCACTATTCAGACTCATCAAGGAAACCGGTATTAGGAATCCTAGTGTAAGTGAGGCTGTCTCAGAAAAGGATGGGCTTATGATTCATTCTCAATCCAGGAGAATGGATCTATGGGCAGATCACTTCAGGGATCAGTTCCACTAGACTTCAGGCACACTTCCGTTGCGCCAGATCTCCAATCATCCTGAATGGCAAGTAAATCTAAGTCCTCTGACTCTTTCTGAAGTTGAAAAGGTTATAGGAAATCTGAAGCGAAGGAGAGCAGCGTGACCTGAAAGACTAAAGACCTCTGAGATTATTTAGAATGTTTGGCAATCTGAACTCATGTACGAAGTTCCACTTTGCTGCTGATCGTTTACTGCAATTGCGAAACTTTCATTTTTTCTCTGTTTGTGAAACCTGTGTTTGTGATAGTATCTCTGGTTCAAGACATATGAGTTTTAGTCAGATAGTCGCCGCTCCGTTTATTGCACATATGTTGGTCTCGTGCGTTTTTCAATATTGAATGTACCCATCCATACATGATGAACCACTCACACTGATTTATCCTCCATTTAAATTTCAATCTAGTAGCGCGTATAAGTAATTTAGCCATGTTTAATTTAAAAAAAGAACTAAAGATAACTCAACAACGAAAATTTTCTCTCTTTAAATGATCATTTACTGAAATAATACAAAAATGATCTATTTACAAATTTTTTTTTTTTAAAAACTAAGAGAGTTTATATCATAGAGTGTTTTGTCTGGAAAATTCTAAATATCACAATGACTATTCTCATCATGATCTAAAAAAAAAATAATCTATATACCAGAATTATTTGGGAGAAAATTGTCCATTTTATAAAAACAAATAAGAGAATATGCTTGTAATCGTAATAACAACTAAGCAAAATTATAAATTTGATTAAACCAGCAAGTGATCATAAAGAATTTGTACATTCAAAAAAGGATGATAAAATCATGAAGAGTTCAAATTGTTCAAACTGTCAATTTACTAAAGCTTCTTAAATATCCAAGTTTTTGATTGATGTTTATACTAAGCCGATTCATTTTGAATGTGTAAATTTATTTTAAAAGATAACTAAATATTCAAGGTGATATGATTAGAATTCATAAGATATTCTTTTTTTTTTAAAGCGATTGATTGCTTTGTATTCACATTTCAAGAAAAGTTATATCGACTGATATTTTGAAAGTTGTTTGTGATACTTGAAATCTTTGTTTAACTGTATGCATCAGTGAATTTCGCGTCAAAATTCAAGCCTAATTATATTAAAATTGGTTCATTTACAAATTAGTCTCACCTCTTTCACTAAATTTCAATGTTTTATTCATCTTGCATAATTAGAACTAAGTCTAATTATGTTGTACTACTTTCGAAATTGTTTGGTTTTATTTACGTGCTCCTATTATTTATCTCTCTCCATTCCCCTATTGTTCCATTAAAATCGTTATCCTTATCTACATAAAATAATTGAATTATCTCCTTTTTCTTCAAACAAAATAAGAGAAAAATCGATAGTGTTAAGTAAAATACAATTTAGTTGTAAATGAAATTACTAAGCAATGTTTATGTGATATGGCATATATATATATATATATATATATATATATATATATATATATATATATATACATATATATATATATATATATATATATATGTATAATCCGTTGTCGAATTTATCGCTGAAAGGTAAGAACGAACAAAAAAACTGAAATGAGAAGTAAACAAAAAATATGTAATTTATATATACATCATAATGTGTTCAACAAAATGAAGTTGAAATTTACGAAAATTGAAATCATAGCAAAGCATTACGTAAGCAAATGAGCTAGTAAGTTAAAAAAAATACAGATATCAGAAAATTGATAACAAATCGAAAACAATGCAGTTTTTTTCTTCATATTACGTTAAAAGATACCATTATAGTTGATCACTGAAGAGTTAACTTCACTTTTCTTCTGTCTAGATATTTAGGTGCTAGTAATCGTTGAAAGATTCGTGTAATTGGGTAGCTGTATGAGTTCTGGTTTTAGCGTAAGTGATGCTATCAATTTACGTATAGTAAAAACCAGAGCGGTCTATGCCATTCTGGGCCATATTATGTTCCTTCGCGATGTTAGTCTGTCTGTTAAAGGTTGGGTTCATAGCGTGTCGATGAATGCAGTTTTGCTCCGCACTTGGAAAATCTGACCTCTTCGGGTTAAAAATGTTAGACGACTCCTTATATTCGATCATCGTTATTTTTGAAGGATATATTCAATGTTAACATTATTTTATTAAAGCATAGATTCTACAATGTGTATTTAGACACATTGGCAATGATTCGATTAGTATCACCATCTTGAAACATCAAATTCAGTGGCTTGGACATGTACTACAGATGTCGTTTCAGTGACTTGTACATGGTATCCTATTTATCAAATCAGACCAGAGAAAGCGATAAGATGGCTAGTTCATGACTGAGTCGGGGTATGAAATAAAGCTTTACAGGATTCATCTGCTGATCTTTCTTGACCCCTTGGGTGGAATCCTAGAGAAAGTGCAACTTAATGGCTCAGGACGTTATAAAATGTAGTGTTGGAACGGACATCAACTCTAAGATTCAGGTATGTCCATCTAACGACTCCCAAGTAAGATGAAACGAGTTTCTTAAACTTTACTACTAGCCACATTCTATATGTGCTATGTAAATGTTATGATGCCCGCTGCCGAGATCTGAAAACAATAAGCTCTTTCTCCCCAATGGAGATACATACAGTTGACGACTCCTTAATAGAAAGAAACGCGCGTTCAAGATTCATCAGCTAGTCACACCCTATCTGTCTGAACATTTTTATGTAGTTTATTTAACTTTCGTTTACATAATAGTGAAGTTAGGCATTAGTACTGTCGGGTGATGGCTCAATGGTCTGAAAGGTTAGGCGTTCGCGTGAGACTGAAGGTCCTGGATCTGATCCGTGCGTTCAGACATTGTGGATGGGCACTGCTGATAAGTCCCATACTTGAACGAAACGACTATCCAGTACTCCCAGGTTTTTAATGGTGGTCTGACATTGATCGATTCATGATTTTAATGAAAGTTAACAATATCTACAACCCTATAACGATAGTATTCTTCGTTAATACGTGTAAATATTGATGTATTTGTTTGTAATTCCACTGTTTTCTCTCTCTTTATTTCAGTTTTTATCTATGGATGAAGATTTACATGTAGAGCATCGTTTTCAATCTCCACGTATGCATAAATTTACACTGAAACATTATAGTGTATTTAAAGCTGTTTGGGATTGGATTATATTAGCGCTTATTATTTATACAGCTATTTTCACTCCATATGTAACTGTTTTTCTCATGAATACAGGAAATAAATATGCAAAATTGATTTCCGTAAGTTTATTTATTTATAAATTCTTATAAATTTTAATTTCTTTCTTTGGCTTTGAAGTTCATTTCAAGAGATTAAATAATATTAGATTTTTCACTGTAGTGCACACGTCCGTTGTTGTTGACAAGTTTATTAAATAATTTACTTACTCCAGTATAGTTTTATATGAATGGCTTTCAGTTACATTATTTAAATATGAAGATCAACTACACATTATGTGAATTATGTAAATTAAACTAGGCTGAGTGAAATCCAAACTTTTATGTTATTGTTTGTTTAATCAGTCAGTAAGTCAGTTACAACGTAGAACTTAGTACGTAGGTATATCAGCTCAAGTTACTATGCCACATTAGCACAGAGATGCAATTGTCAATTCAAATCCCATAGTTGTAGATGTATTAACAGTTTTAGCGGCAATCAAAAAGATGCGGGATCGGAGATATTTTTCGAGAAGTATTTCCCAGTGAAATAAATTTGAGAATAGAAAGACGAAGGTCAGATTAAAATTCGAGCCAACAGAACAAATGGATGCACCTGCGCCATTGCAAATGATTTTGATCCATATCATTCATAGTCTCTAACCACTGGTTACTGTTGTCTCGCGGACCCCAATCTTGTTGTCTACACCTACTAACATGTCCATGACTTCATGGACTGATGTAATCTTTCGGTCTGGTCACCCCTAGCTTTCTTTCAGCCTACTCCTACATCACACAACATCGCCTGTCGGTGCAATCTGTGGTTGGGCATTCGTAACACATGTCCCAACCACCTCAACTGATGAAGATGCCGTACTTCGTCAATTGATTTGTCATCCTTACCTAGAACCCTTATCCTAACACTAACATTGCTTACTCGGCGATACCAGGATATGCGAGCAATGCTTCTAAGATAACTATGATCGGATGTTATTAGCCTTCGAATATCCCATATTCTTGGTGGCCATGTTTCATAACCGTCAATCGGAACAGAGCGAGCTGCCTCTCAGAAGACTTGTCCTTTGGTTAATGGAAAATATCTTGCCTACTTCATATGTGACGCAAGTTGGTAGAAGTTAATCGAGCCTTCTGTATCCGTACAGAGATTTCGTCGAACACCTAACCATCAGGACTAAGATAGGTACATAATATACACTCTATTCCTCTTATTCTTATCTTCCTAATTCTTACTAGCGAACTTTTTTCTTTACATATGAAATTAGTTATTGATTAGTAATAGTGAAAAAATTATTTTGATAGATTCGAGATAAGAACGATGTCTGTCAATACTTTTCATTTCTAAATATATTAGTTGTAGTTTTCTATTCTCACTAAATAAGTCAGATTGTATCAGCTGTAAGGAGATATCTGTCCTCGAACGCTCTAGTGCTACCGAGAGTGGAGGGAGTCCTCGCTCTCTGGAAATGCTCTCATATGGTCACACGTATACAACTACTGTTTGAAGATCCTACTCAATACCTTTTCGTGCAACAAATGTTGATTACGAAATTGAGAAGACGAAAAGCGAGTGTCTGGTCGGGCCTTAAGCATGTTGGTTGGTACGGAGGACCTACAAAAGGGAATTGGAAAACCCTGATTCCAAACCAATGGTATACTACATGATATCCAAGGTCCTGAGGAAATAACTGGCGTATGAACCTACTTTGGTCACCGGCTGACGTGGGGCTGCATCTCCCAACGTTGCTCCACGGTTTTGTGAATCAGATATCTGTGTCAAAGGCTGTGGGAGTGGTTCTGTAGGAAGATCACTTTCTTCGCTTTGGGCGTCAGGGTAGTATCCAAGTTCATACACATGTTTTTTGATTTGTGTGACGTATAAATATTTAGGTGCCTCAATGTTTTATGTGTTTAAGTAAAGTAAATATATGATTGTACTGATCAATTGTTATTTTTTTAATTATTCATGAATATAGTTGTGATAACAGATGATATTTTCAATCGTTTCTTGTGTTGAATAATTAGTGCAAAATGTACCTTTTATCACTTGTTATAAATATCTAAACCGAGGGCGAAATAAGAACTTGGAATATCATTTCAGTGATATTGTACTTCGAGATGGTGGAGAAAACTTGTAGCTCAGGTGGATGATTGTGGTGGTGTTTCGTTCTCTGAGCTCAGAGAACGAAACACCACCACGATATTGTACTTCATTTTATTAAAGTATTTAAGTTAACAAGGTAGAAAAGCCGATCATATATTTCAACTAATTGCAATTCTCGATACTACATATGACCAATATCAAAATATCTATATATATATATATATATATTTGTGTATAATGTAGGCGTTTTCAAAACGAATGAATAATTTTATCAGTATGTATGCTGTGAAAAAGTATGATTGCACAAAATCCAGTTTTGGACAAATTAAAGCAGCAAAAATTAGGCAAAAAGAGAATTGTCCATCATTAAATTTCAAGGTTTCTCATCAGTTAACCATTACAAATAGACGAGTTACAAAAAATATATCATAATCCAAAAAGTAAATGAAGCTAAAATGGATTTTCAAAACAACACATAAAACCATACATCATCCAATTACTGAACACCATAAACCCCCTATTTTTACTGTTTTAAACTACCTCTATCTATTAATCTATACTGATAATAATAGAATAGTATAAAATTTATCGTTCAAATGAGAATGCATTTGTCTATGTGTGTTTTGAATTTTCTGTGACCTGAATGATTCACATTTTCACTCAATTCTAGGTGACGTCCATTTGAATTATGTGCTAATATCATATCAATTACTAAAGGCCACAAAACACTATAGGTGAAGTCATTTGTCACAAAATTTGGTGACAGGCAGTTAATTAACTTTAATTTCTAAATAGCGAAAGATGTATGAACTATCATGTCCCTGTACGTTCACTCAGCACCACTAACCTTGAGTTAGCAGCTAAGTTCCTGTTGGTAATTTTCTTGCACGTTCCTGTCCTGTCCTTGAGTCCAGAAGTCAGCAGCCAGCCTCTACTATGTTTGTATTTCAAACAGACGTAGTTTATATACAGGCAGACTAAACCGCATCACACTATATATCTATATATATGATTATCAACTATGAGATAATAATCCTAGACATTCCCCACTCCATTTTTTTTCTATACATATCTAGCACAACAATTATCGTGTGAACAAGGATTTGGATATTGTACACATAGTTATTATTCAGTGAAATACAAATTCCACTCACTTTAAAAATTATCTTTTATTTTTCATTTATTTTTCTTACTCTTAAAGCCAGGAAACATAACAACGACAACACTGACAACGATCACTGTAGATATAAATCGTACACAGAATAAGTCCTCAATAAATAATAACTCTGACATATCAATTATTCATCATACTGACCACCCCCCATCATCTATGATCTCTTCATCACCAACATCCCAGGGTGCACCAACATTATTGTCCACAGTGGACATTTTAGTCGATATCATGTTCATTATTGATATTCTAATTAATTTTCGTACGACTTACGTTAATAAAAATGATGAAGTTGTTTCACATCCAAAACGTATAGCTGCTCATTATATCAAAGGTTGGTTTATCATTGATCTGGTAGCGGCTATCCCATTCGATTTGTTATTTTTTCGTACAGCTGGTGATCAAGTAAGTGAGCGAAATACAAAAAATCAATAAAGTATTTATATTTATATGTGTGCTTTTTTGCTTTACGGTTAATCGTGATCATGTTTATTTGTTGTATGTTTGCACTAATTCATTTTAGTATTTAGTGCTGCTACTAATGATGATTAAATCCTAACACCCACTAAGGCCTTTTATGTTGATCATGTTCAACCAACTATGTAAATTTGATCTTCTTTTCGAACTCATGTGTATTTAGTAGCAGCTCAATTGATTAGGTCGAAATTACTCGAATAGGTGCATAGGGTTCTAAAGATCCACTAATGCCATACTAAGCACTTAGACTAAATACCGCATTACAATTTGATCTATCTCATTCAATCATCACATACAGACTAAAAAAAAACATGACCTAGATCACGACTCAGTGTTCAGGCAATTGTAAATGCATCATGATCCCATGGAATTTTAGTCATAGCCGTAAGAACTCAATAACAGCGCCTTACAATGTAAAACTACATGATATGTGTTCAAATCTAACTAGGAGCATTAATCCCTTCAAGATTCCAGTTGGACCCCATTGACTATTGCTCATTAACATGTAACCTAAGTTTAGAGTTTCTTGTCAACTATCTCCAACTGATTAGCACTATCCGAATCAATATGTAATTATGTGTATTAAGAAATAATTGCTATCATTTTGTTAAGTTCATGTGAACAATAGTTACTTTGTGCTGTTAATTACGAAATGAAATGATCAAATATTATAACGTCATTAGAAGAGGAATGCAAATTAGGTATCACTTGAATAGAAACTTGTGGATTCACCTTATTGTTATTGTGATAGTTTATTATTTGACAATTAAATAAATTTTGAATTGTTAAGATGAATGAGTAGAGTCGAGATTGATAATAAGTATTCAATCATACAATTTAGCCTAGTGACAATTCTTCACAAAGTAATAAAATAATATCACTTACCCCTGTTACCTCCTCGTGGAGCATATGCACCAACTAGGATTCTTTAGCCCATTCTCTCCTGGGTTTTTCTTTCCGATTGTTCCCAATTTCCATTTATTACTTTGATGTATACCTCCAATTGCCGGCGTACTGTGTTATTTGGTTTTCCTCTTTTTTTTCTGCCCTGAGGATTCTGAGACAGGGCTTGCCCCTTGACGCAGTTGGATGATTTCCACAATGCGTCCGCCTGGTGAACTTCTAGGGTTACAGCCAGCAGCACTAAACTTGAATAAAGGAAGGTTGGGTTTGTAGTTAACAACCCCATTCCGTAAAAAAACAAACTTGCTCAAAAACACTAACCAAAAATTAAAAATATTATATATATTTCATATCAACACAACATAAATATGATCAGATTTCATAAACAATTGGACAGTGTCAATTTTAAATGTCATTCATTTTTCAATGAATTGAAGGCTTGTCCATTATATCATCAGGACTATGATATGGAGGTTACAAATTGGTCAATAATTATAATGTACTTTTATCAACTGTTTAAGACTGTAGATATCGATTTTTTAAGTGGGAGTTATTGTTAAAAAATGACTTTCCTTTATTGAACAACTAAAATGTGAACGAGAACGTTTTACATCATGCGATAAGTTCTCTTTACGAATTTAAATGAAGCTGAAACAACAATTAATACAGAGTAATATAGAAAATCACACAATACTATGAATTCATATTATTTTGTTTCAGTTGTTGTTCTGGATTTATTTGAATGTTTCATTTTCTATGTACGGTTTTATACGTTTATAACAGGCCAACTATTTTAGCGGTAGTTAACTCATTAAAGCATTTGATTTACAACCGATTCGATGCATACTACAACTCAAGTCTACTTATTTTGATTTGAACAAACAGATGGTATCCATTCATTGTTACCTGAATCGTTTGACAAAATACACGAATCCATACTTGTTAAATGACTTACGTAAACTGACTGAGAGTTCTCTATCTTGGTCACCATTTCTTGTGAAACCTAATGTATCATAGAAAATATTAAAGAAAACGGACAGTCGACTTAAGAAACAGAATTGTCTATTTTGATGAAGAATAATCTAAAACCGACTTAAAAATTATCTGCTAGTAAGGTGAACCATAAGGCTTGGAAGAAGCTGTGAATCTCAGTAGCATCCACCGAGCTGATAGACTCTCAGAAACTCATCCCACCTGGCTCTAAACATGACGAAGAGTGAAGTCAGCTTGAGCTCAAGCTGATATAAAGCCTACGAAATGATCGCGAACAGTGGTGGGTAGCGAGAGCGAGAGAGACGGAAAAGGCGACGGCGATAGGCAACAGTAGACAACTTTTCTGACTTATCAAGGAAACTGGTATTAGGAATCCTAGTGTAAGTGAGACTGTCTCAGAAAAGGATGGGCTTATGATTCATTCTCAATCCAGGAGAATGGATCGATGGGCAGAACACTTCAGAGATCATTTCAACTGGCCTTCAGCTACACTTCAGTTGTCCATGATCTCCAATCATCCTGAATGGCAAATAGATGTAAGTCCTCTGACTCTTTCTGAAGTTGAAAAGGTTATAGGAAATCTGATGCGAGGAGGAGCAGCAGGACCTAATAGATTATTGATCCCAATAATGGCTTCAATAATACTCCGACGCTAAACGAAAGCCCGTGAATAGCAGATTAGAGAAAACCAGGCTAGTTTCCGATCAGGATGTGGATGTATAGACCACATTTTCACACTACGTCTGGTCCTAGACCGAAGACACACGTTCAGATGACCAACAATAGTAGTATTCCTCGACCTTAAAGCGGTATTTGACTCTGTTGACCGTGAGGTTCTGTGGCAGTGTCTGTTATTAAAAGGTGTACCAAAGAAGTACATCAACCTTATACAGGCTCTGTGCTCGAGCACCACTGGTCGAGTTAGAGCTTATGGCCAACTCTCATCATCCGTCCTACTATATGAATCCGAAACATGGACGGTAAGAGTAGAGGACATTCGAGGGTTATTAGTATTCGATCATCATTGTCTTCGAGGCATTGCTCCTGTACCGTGGCACAACTGAGTGAGCAATGCTTTAGTTAAGAAACGAGTACTAAGTAGGGATGGCAGATCAATAGATGAAATAGTGAATTTTCATCAGTTGAAGTGTTTGGGACATGTGCTACGAATGCCTAACCACCGACTGCCTCGACGAGCTATGCTTTGTGGTGTATGATTAAGTGGGAAGAACACTAGGTGTGGCCAACCAAGACATGGCAAAAAACCATGAGATCACTGACAAGTGGACTGAGTCATGTTGATAGATGTAGGTCACCTGAATGGGGTCCGCGAGACGATTGTAACCGATGGTTATAGATCTTGAACGACATGGCTCAAAATCGTTTGCGATGGCGCAGGTACATGCACTCGTTGTGTTTTCTGAAATTCTAATCTCCAAAATTCCTCATCATCTCTATCTTTCCATTTCTAAATTTATCTCACTGAATTACTTCTCGAACCATATCTTCGAACTATGATCTTCTCGATTACTGCTAATATTTCTACTATCGCTATCACTCTTGGATTTAAACTGACAGTTGCGCCTCTTTGCTGATGCAGTCTGGCAACCTGGACTTATGTACTCATGTACGAAGTTCTACGTTGTATCTGATGACTGACTGACTGAAGGTAGCAAATTAGAAAATAGTCCTAACGGTTTACAGAAAACAAAGTCCACAAGATAAGTCAAAATGAATCAAGTATTCATGTTTGTGTAAGTTAAATTTCAAAGTAACTTTAAATAAGGAATTATTTCCAAAGAAACCAGTAATTCTCTCGCCTGATCACCTCTGCTACACACGTACATTTAGTATAACATAATGATATGATTGAAATTTCATTTCTGAACTTTTTCTTTTTGGTGAATATACTCTCAACACAATCTTGTTCATTTATGAGTATGGTATCTACAAGCTTCAACTAACTAAAAGTTGTTGCGAAGACAATCGATGGAAAGTGGGGAAAATTTTAATTCAAAATTGAAATGAGACTGTAGTAATGAACACAAAATAATTTAGATTTTCATTTTATTCTTTCAATACTACTTACGACATCCAAGTTCTGAACATTAAAATCAGGGCATAAAATTCATTTCGCTTACTTTTTTTTTCTCTAAAATTGAACTTCATAATGATCTAAACATATTTACCGAGACAATATGCTGTCATTCTACGAATCTCATTCATCCTAATGGTGAATTGTTAGTTAAATGAATCTTACGATGGATATGAGAAGCTTGCTCCACCTGTGAAACCATTAAGTAACTAACGTTTACTTGTAATGGTAATTGCGAACTGCCTGAAATGGAGTTACAAGTGATAATTTTCATCAATAGGGTAGTCTCATGATTACTCGGTTTATAATTGTTTGTGTTCACTTAGATAAATTCAACATTTATCTTTAGTTAACTATTGAATTAATTGATAACTTATTCTCAACCAGTGTCATGGTGTAATGAATGAACACATCCAGATTAGATGGAACAAGTGATTTTTTTAGAGGAGACACAGTTTACTAGCTACTGAGGTTAGATAGCCGGAATATCAATAATCAGATAATTCAAACTATTTTAATTCGAAATAAATCTTATATCCTTTGCGCAAGTGAGTAGCCATTTAGACTCAGTAGGTGAGTAGATAACGCGATAGCATTTAAAGTGAACCGTATTGGGTTTGAATTCCGAAGTGAACATCAACTCTGGGATGTGTAAGGTTTATCATCTGACGAGTCTCAAACAGGACGAAACGCTCGTTCTAGATTCCATGGCTAGCCACATGCTACCGATTCTATATAAACTTGTGTCATAATGGCTATTTATCTAGGCAATCATCATAGGATGCCTATATGCCCAAGGTCCATCAAATTCCAATCAAAATATCAACATCGGGATAATGCAAACCATTTCAAATCGAGTCGGTAGTCACTATTATTTACAGAAAAGGTTTTAGATAAACAGCCACAATTCTGAATATTGACGGTCATTAAAATCGAATATATATGTGTAAAATCGCTTTAGATTATATGAAATTTTCAAACTAGCAACTGTATAACACAAACTAATATTCATGAGAAGTTTTATAACCTCGATAGGTGTCTATTTCCATACAATTACTCTAATGTTCTTTACCTTTAACGATAACAAATCATGAACTACAGTGGTCAGTATATGTATCATGTATATCTAACTGTTGTGATGTGTAATAGCTTAGAGTTAATACTAACATGCAATCTGTCTATACATGAACTTAACTGGCCACTTGAGTGAAAAAACTGACAGTGAGAAAGTTTATTATATACACCAAATCGACTGTATGTCTACTAATGTATTTAGATGTCCCTTAAAAAATTGAGTTATCATTGGTGTAAAACTATTTTTTAACTGATCACTGACTGATTTCTCACTAGACTATTGTATCATTAATCATCCCCCAAATCAATTCATCATGTTAGTTGGTATAGGATTTAGAGAAGAGTTAAGAGCGATCAATTCTTTGATTATTAGTTAGCACCATGTTGGTAGATGCATACTATCTGATTAAATCTCCATGCATTAACTGCAATCAGTGGTTGTAGACACTGACTGAATGACCTTATTCAAAATCAGTCGAAATTGCACTAGTACATTCATTTCTTTTATTTTCCTTCTACATTACCAAACTCCTACTTGGGTTTGATATCTTTCATAACTTTTAATCGATTTCTTAAGTTTAAATATATCCAGTATTTTATGAAGATTAATCAGTCAATTAAGAAGTCAAGATCAGATGGCGTATACATATCTTAGATGAAGGCACAATCAGTTTACAAGATCTTTACACAGTCTTTAATAATCGATTTGCAATCCAAGCAGGTTATTGACTATTTTCGCTTACATTTCTTCTGGTCTGTGAAAGACATTGATAACGCCATGCTTTTCAATATCCAAACATTCTTCTCTCTCTAGTAATAACTTCTAGGTGATACTCCACTGCATACTACTCATATGCCAGTTTGTAAGCTGCATCCACCACACAGTTACATCAACTGACGAGTCTCAAATAAAATGAAACAGAGGAATGCTGAATAGCTTCACATACCACGTATACTGAAATTTATTGCATAGAACTGTAATAAAACAATTTGTTGTGTATAAACATTTGTTAGTGGGAACTGATCACTTCTAATCCTTGATTATCAACAATTAACAATCTCGCATGTTTGTACTAGTTTTTAAATCATTAAGACTTTTCTTTATTTTTCTTTGAATAAATTCGTTTTCGACTTGATAGTCAACTTTGTTAGTTTTTTCATTTATTAAATAATGACTAAATATGGTGTTGTATTATCTTCTCATATTTCATCATGGCAACACTAATATTATTATTATTATTATTATTATTATTAGTGGTAGTAGTATTACCATTTGTTTACTACTCGTGCATCATTGTTTCATGTTGAACCAGGTAAACAACGAAGAAAAATTCTCTTCATTGGTGTTATTTTTGTTATTCATCTTTTTATTCGAAACCATCTTGTTCATTTTGGTGTGTGTGAGTTTCATCTGTTTGTTCACTTGTGTATATGTATATGTACGTAGGTGGATGCCTCTTGTTGTAAGACGATAAAGATGATGATAATTTTTTTTTATTGAACATTGAAATAAGCAGATTAGTTGAGAAATGGTTTAGACCCAGATAAATTAATCCTTCTCATTGTATATATATATATATATATATATATGTATAGAACATATATATGTTCTTATTCGATAACAACAACAACAAATTTTTGTTTATGAAGAAAATTTTTATTACATCACTGTATATCGCTTTTCATATTTGTTAATGTGGATCATCCTAGTGTCATCGTTTACCATTGACACACACATACACACATGTACTCATTTATCCCCGTAGATATAAAATAATATCGATATTAAAATGTTTAAGCAGTTAATCATAAAAGAAGTTAGCTAACAATGTAATAGATTTTTAGAAAAATATTGAATATCATCAATGAAAGAAAATCAATTAAATTTCTTAATAAACCCATCATACTACTGAAATCTGAAATTTCAATATTGTATACACATTTATATTACGTGAAATTTTGAAAGAAAAACTCTAACATATAATAGAATTTTACTGTATATAAAACTAGTTAGCTTAAAATTTTGTGCTGAAGTTTTTTTCTCCGACGTTCATTTATTATTAGAGCGAATTCAATTTAAAAACTTGTCTATTCAATGTAAATTCACTAGTTAACTTTCAATTATATATCTTCATATGATTAGTGAATTAGATATTTTTCAACTGTTTTTATCAATTAAACACATCACTTACAGCTTTGATGAGTTTAACTCATATGTTTTCTTTTTAAACTTTGTCTAGTTGATTAGTATATCATATTTTAAGAAATATCACTATTAACAACTATAAAAGATCTTCAGATAAACAATCTGATATTTGATATTCAAGCAGATAATTAGTTTTGATTAAATTTAAAATTATTTAACTTGATTTGTAAAAAAAATACAATACTCTGATAAATATCTTTATATTAGTTTTACATTTTTATGATTTTTCAGCCTACTGCTCTTACAGGTTTATTAAAGTCAGCTCGTCTTTTACGTTTAGTGGGTATTGTACGCAAACTCGATCGATACTCTGAATATGGTGCTTCCATTTTAATATTATTAACTGCATTATTTGCCCTAATTGCTCATTGGTTAGCATGTATTTGGTAAGTCGATTTTATTCAATGTTATTTTCATTTTGTTTGTAAAAATTTATTTCACCTTGTTTAATGATCCACAGTTTCTTGCGTAGACAACTCTTAATAAATACCTGTATCTTGTGCATGATGAATTTCGTGGTTCTTCACGTTTCCGGTACATACAATAGACCTAACTTGTCGTTTGTATTGGAAATGGTGAGTTTGGAGTTGGCTGACAGACAGAGAGACAGTTGTTTTGAGTTGTAGATGTTCTTCCAGTGTAGGAAATCTGTCCTCGCTCGGCGAATACGTGTGTTTTTATTTACATCAGATCCTCCTGGTATATCAAGGATGCTGCGAAAGTATGTGACAGTTTCCACATGTCCCTGAGCTACTCCGTCAAGTGTGATTTGGTTGTTCCACATTGTGTTGTATCGGGGGACCTTGCTTTTCCCTTGTGTATGTTGAGACGTGCAGCTGCAGCGACTGCTTCCAAACTGGTCGTCTTCATTTTTATTTGTTGCTGTGTGTGGGATAGGAGAGCTAGGTGATTTTCGAAGTGCACATCGTCCAGCTGTATCGAATCTGCCTAGTGTATTCTGTGCATCCCACGGGACATTGACGTCTTCATAATCCAATAAATCACCAGGAGAATTTGAAAGGTTCAGAGTAAGCAGCCTTGGTTGACACTGGATTTTACTCGTTATATTTCCTTCAAATAAACATTTGACTTCGTTCATCACTGACTTCTGAGTTGACTGGTTATTGTGTATTATCTATCTGAAATATATTACGCACAAAAAGGTCGATAATATATGAACACCCGCGACACCTTCAAATCTGTCCATTCAGGTCTGCATCTGCTCCTAGGTGAGCAAAGATTTTCTCATATTCCAGATCTTCTCGGTCAAATGTGATTTGGTTTTTGCATGTTGTGTTGTATCGAAGCCGGTTATCAGTGAATCCAATAAATGATTGTCGGAACCTATCGCAAATTATCTTCCTCACACTCCAATACCTAATTTTATGCTGAAAAGTTCTGAATATAGCCTGTTGAGAAGTAGTATCACAGTAGGATCAAATCACTGTTCTATACTATTTACTTATCAGGACTATCTTGGTCTATATCAGTTTTTTTCAAACAAATTCCTGTTGAGAGTATAATTTTCTTTATGGTTAATGAAATGTTTCTTTTCAACCGAACTCACACATAGAATGTATGAACACTCATATAGAATGTATATATTATTTTTACCGTCCTACTAAACCATATTTTCCTACTTTTTCTCTTTTTATTTTATTATCTACTATAGGTATGCTATTGGTAATGCAGAACATTTGTATCGTGATCCTAAAATTGGTTGGTTAGATACATTGGCTATACACACTGAACAATATTATACCGATCAACCAAATTCTGGTCCAGATTTAAAAACAAAATATATCACAGCATTATATTTCACTTTTTCTAGTCTTACATCAATCGGTTTCGGTAATGTTAGTCCTAATACAAATGCTGAAAAAGTATTCTCTATAATAGTTATGCTAGTTGGTTGTAAGTTTCATTTTTCTATCATTGGTATATGATGATATAAAAAATGATTTTAATTGACTAAGGTTATTGTTCAAAACTAAAAATTCCTCAACCAATTACTTCAATACTGTTAGCAGTGAAATTTTAGGACTTTATGGCTTTTAGATAATACGCTAGTGTTTCAACCGACAAAGACCACAATTCAAATCGGAGTGTTAATATCAATTTGGTAATACTACTACTGGTGTGGCGGATACTACTAATAACATCAATTCAAAGCAATATGCAATGGAGTGTCATCCAGAAGGTGCTGCTGAAGAGTAGTGTCAGGTCTGGATGTATAGTGCGATCAAAGTGTTTTGAAGACATGTGGAAGAAGATAACCGATAATCTGCTTGTTATGCAGATAGATAAAGTGTATACATTTTATGAGTAAACTGTGTCTTCCTTAAATACATTATCATTCCATCTAGTCTTCACGTCTTCGTTCAGCATATCACTGATATTGCATACAATCAACGGATATTAAATAGGCTGAAACATACTTCCTTAGATTTCATTGTCAAGTCACTTATTTTCGTTATCCAGTTATCTTCACCTCATTTATCCATGCAACAAGTATTGACTAATGGATTGGTTGGTTGATTGATTTGCTATTTTCTATCGTTTTAATTGGTATCGTTCACGTTGTTTACTTCCTTATTTCTGTTTATTTATGTTAGCGTGCGCGTGTGTGTCTGTTTGCGTACATATATACATTTTAAGTTATGTGCATTATAACCAGTTTTCTTTCAATTTGACCTTTTCTTCAGTTGTAATTTAGTGATATTATTTATGTCAATACATTTATCTACATAGTTAGTTTGAAAAATAAACAGAAGAATTTGTTTACCGAATTTTTTTTTTCTCGTTTCCTTATTGTGACACGAATAGTGATGGTAACGATATATTTCAAATAAAGTAAACAGTTGTTTTTACTATCAGTAGTATTACTGCTACTACAGTAATGGTAATCTTTGTGTACATAAGGTGTTTTTTTTCGAATAACCAAATATTTACAGAGACACAATTCTTTGCTTTTGGTAAACTCAGTTAAACTAACTGTATAGATTACGTTCAACTGTTTACAACCTGAAACATGCTTAGAGATAAATTGTGGCCAGTAGTGGAATCTAGGATACGTGTTTCTTCCTATTTGGGACTCATCAGTTGGATGTACCTTATAATCACTCTGGTACTCGAATCCAGTGCCGTTCACTTCAAACGCCATTAGATTATTCACTTATCTTCTGAGTTCATATAGTCACTCGTTTGTCCAATGAAGTAACGATTAATTCATTTGTTTTGCTTGTTCAAATCTACTAATTCATGTTTATGACTGAAACTGATCAGTTTTATTCAGTATATGTGCATCCTGTGCGAGTTGTTTTGACCATTGCATTTAGGTTACAGCCATTATCATATCAAGGCACTCCTCATAGGATGCATATATGCCAAAAAGATTGATCCATTGTAGTCCTAAACATTAATCGGAAAATTCAAACAACCGATTCCAATGAACTGAAACATGTTTATATGCTTTTTTCACCATAGACTGGGATGAGTTGAAAATCACAGCAGTAAACGATTCGTATTGTCAATTTTATCTATCTAAAACCTTACATGGAATCAAATCCAAGGTTATACTAGTTTTTGATGTTCATTACAGTATTGACCATTGATTGAAAACAGAATAGTAACCATTGTCGTGTTTGTCAAGTCTTTTTTTATGCTAATCAAATTCTATTGATCAAGTTGTGACATACATTACATCCTTCACTACTTAATGATTAATTAATGCTTAATTCTTCTTAGTCCTGCATGAAACAGTGATATGGAATCGAATTCACTAGAAAACATTCTCTCACAAGATTACTGGTACACGTTACTAATGACTGCTTTGTGGTAGGACGGTTTTACGGTCAACTAGCTCCAATCAGTATTTTACATCATTAGATATTTGCTCTGAGAATTCCTTTTTTCCTGTGAACATCAACTCCATTCCATTTCTAGCCACCATCCATTTCTGCTTATCATGCTTGTGACTAAATATCTATATTGAGGCAATCCGCACAGGTTACATACCTATGCCAAATAGAAACTGATCAGTTACAATCCTATCAATCAATATGAGAAGATTCACAAACAATTAATACAAATGTATTCAATATATTATTAATGATTTCGACATGTGAACATTATTTTTACTCCAAAAATTGTTTAGATAGAAGTTGATTTTTCTGTTTTCTTTATTTTCGATTCATAATATTTCAATGTGTACTTTTGAATCCGTACAAAAAAAAGAAAAATAATAATAATAATAATAATTAAAAGTAATATAAATTAAATTAGATAAATAATATACATATTCTATTTCTTTTATTGTTATTTTATTAATATTCATTAATGAACTTTTTAACATCGATAATTATCTCTTAAATAATGCTTAAGTTTAGTTAGTTGTTTTTGTTTTTCTTTAATATTTTAAAACAAATAAATGTGAATAAGATTTTTGTTTCAATGAAAACATGGACTCATTTTGTTTGCATAGATCAATTCATATTAGTCAATAGATTTAAGTGAAGTTAACAAAAAATTGGCTTAGAAAAGTAGGATTCTTTAGTAAATAAAATAAAAGAGTGGAATAATATGTGTGATTAGCGAATTTTTTGTTTGTTTACTCTGAAGAAAACAAAGTAGAAATCTTTTTGAAATTGTTGATTTCATTCTTACAGTGATAATAAAACTATTGCATACACTCCATTTTGGAACTTATCACAACTTTTCAATATTAATTCTTAAACATAAACTGTAGGATTTTTCAGCGCTCTTATTAATATTGTATTCTAGCTTTCGATTGCCCTGGTACGGCCAAGATTGGGGAGAGTACACTTTTTCTCTTCTGATGCTCTCATATATGGCCACACGTAAATAGCCACTATCAGGGAAGTCTCATATCACTGCCTTGTTGTGGAACAGGTTTTGTTCACAATATCGAGAGAACTAAAAGCTGGTACAGAGGGGTCCACATAAGGTAGTTGGAAAATCGCAAATCATTGATGAATATGGACTCCTTGATCCTTAGGGAACAAATGGTATATGAACCTATTGTTAGCCACTGGCTACCATGAGACCGCATCGCCTAACGTTGCTTCATTGATTAGATTTTTGAATCAATGGCTCGGACTCGTAAGTAAACCACTTGTTTTGGTTTGGCCACTCGAGCAGTATCCCAACCTACATAACTTATTGATTTATGAAGTGAATATATATTTGGTTGTCTCTTTATACCTGTAAGTACTTTTTTAAAATAATTAATCAATGAATAAATTGATCGAAACAATTTTCTAGTCATATGCAGAATGTTGTGAACATTGTTAAGTTTTCACAAGTTTATGTCATGAATCTCTAAATGAATAAATTTATATTACTGCAAAGAGTTCCATGTAAACTTACTACTTATTATTTGTAAATATTTCACTAAAAGACCACTACTTCCAGTAAAATAACATTAACAATCTATTGCAAAGTCAGACCTTGAATGTTAAGTTTTAATTTGTTTTAAATGTTTTTACAAAGATTTTGTTGTGAAAACCTGAACATGATGATTGATAGTCAAAAATAGAGCATTCGATGTACAAATTGAAGTCTCACTGTGAATGAAATGATCTTGAGTTCTGTTAAAGATATTAGAGCGGTTGTCACTTTCCGAACGCTCATATTGTGTAAGGATGCTTTTTTAGGAATCTAAAAAGGAAACTGAATTAATGGTGGTTTCGAGGACCTATAAACATGATCGTAGAGTCAAAGTGACATCTTCTTCAGGCCGGTCGTACATGAACTTTTACAAAAATTTCTTGACATGCTATCTTCGTACTTTTAAGACTGTGCAACATAATAAAATATACTAATTTTTAACTTGTTAACTTTTTTAACTCTTTCTGTTGTATCAAGAAGACATCAGTGTTGGTGTTGATTGTCCATGGACAACTAAGTTTTCATTACTAAAACAGACAAGTTCATAATTTTCCTCAAGGTTTTAATTCTATACGGGAATTCTTTTTTTTTTTTTTCGAAGATTGGTTTTAGTGATATTTTTAACTCTTCTGTTGACCAAAACATTTCTACACAAATTTATTATAGGCTTTTGAATTTGATCGAATGTTACTGAATGGAAGTTAATATTTATGCAACTTCCATAGAAAATGACCTTATGAGCCGATTAAAAAAAAGAGTTAAGTAAGAAATTTCGTAGAAAAAGTCAAAAAAAAAAAAAGAAAAGCCTGTACACACCCTTTTTTTTATTCAAAATACAATGAATTTTTCAAGTTTTCTTAATCGGTACTACTAATTAGAGGGAAAGGGAATGTTCTTTTTTTTTTATAACTAAAACTCAACTAATTGATAATCTGACTTTTTCTAAAAATTTTTGTAATCTGAAATAACTTATAAACGATTCCATGTTATTCCAACACAATTTAAATACTGATTCAAAAAGTAAAAAAAAACAGTCAATACACAATTCTCTAGCTATACTAAACATTGAATTTGGTAATTTTAGCTAGACTACATATGAAAATATAAATTTCAAATAATTGATATTAAGCTACATTTTTTGAATAATAAAGATTTTTAAGTAATTTCTCTATGAATAAGTGGAACACACTATTCATTCACTTAATGAAATCGCAAATAATATTTGTTTCAAATAATGTATTGAGCATTTGTTCAGAAAAAAATTAACATTCATAACTCTTTGATCAAGTAAGCGATTTGAACTTCGCATTGATTCACCTGATTTCGATTGCTATGTAATATCATTAGCTTTTGTGCAAGCAAGTATAGTCAGTCAGTTACAACGTAGAACTTCGTACATACGTACGCATTATCATTAACCAAGTATAACTCAATGTTGAGTTTAAGGATCGATTATTTACATATTTATACCTGTTATCACTCGTGGATAATAAGCTACTAACCAGGATTTTTCAACCTACTTTATCTGTAGCGCTTTTTTTTCTAGTTTGTTCTTGAGTACTATCCATTAATCTGATTTCTGTTTACCAATTCCATTACTCAATGTGTTCTTGTTCTTGTTTTTCTTTAGCTTTGAGGATTCTAAGATAGAATGTACCTTGCAATACAGGGTTGATGATATAATTCAGAAAAAATCTATTTTTAGTAAATAAAATTAAATTTTTCTGTTGATATCTATCTATACATGTTTTGTTTTTCCATAGCTTTAATGTATGCAAGTATATTTGGTAATGTTGGTGCATTAATTCAACGTCTTTATAGTGGTACAGCTAGATATCATGCACAAATGTTACGTATTAAAGAATTTATACGTTTTCATCAAATTCCAAGTCCATTACGTCAAAGATTAGAAGAATATTCTACACAAGTTTGGGAACATACAAATGGTATAGATATGACAATGGTTCAATATAGTTTTCCGGAATCATTACAATCTGATATTTGTCTTTATGTATATCGTCATTTTTTAAGTGGATCAGTTGCATTTAAATGTATGTTTAAAGAAATATTAATAATCATAGCCTTTTTTTTAAATCAAGTGTTTATGTACATTTTTTAAGTCATCAAATATTTTCACGAATTGAATTGGTCATCAACGATCTCACTAGATTATTAATTTACTCAATCATGAGTTGATTTAAGTTAAAAATGTGAATCTTTGGGTTAGAACTAGTTGTCTCAATGGTTCAGTTAGTCATGAGTTTGAGTTACGCTCCACCTATTTTGGTTTAAACAACCGGGCAGTATTATAACCCCTCACACTTAGAGTGTGTCCTAAAGCAAAGTGTACGAATCTGTACTTAGTTAATGAGTTAGGAATTAAAGTAAAACTTAGAAATCCTGGTACTTTTCTTGATGAGATCGTAGGTGCACTGTGTTAAAGAGTCTTATAACAGGATAAACCAACTGTTCAATGTCAATATATAACGAAAACCATCTACCGACGTTCCGACAATTAACTATTGTTTTCGTAGTGAAAATCAAGAATTTTGGTATGTTGACATGAATGATTTATACTTTTTAATGCTCAACAGTGAATCCAATGTAACGCATTTTAAATATGACACACTAATATATACAGTCTCTCAGCACAACGTACTTCAAGATAGACTCCAATCTACCAACTTCTGAACGTTATAAAAACAATTTAAACCACAAACTGATCTTAATTGGACCACTGTTGAAAACCTGAAAGTCCTGACCGACATTTTTCTTATAGTATAGGACTTCTGAAAAGTGCCCATCCACGACCCCACATGTGAGAACTGAACCAAAAACCCTCGGTTTCGCGCTCGAAAGCTCAACGTCACAACTACTGAACCAGTACATGATGGTGTACCTTGTCTATCTTTATTCGATTACTTTATTTAATATGGTGGGGATCCAAGCAAATGAGATGTCAACATATTTTTAAGTATTGATTAATAACTCAAAAGTTTTCTTACATCAGACTGATCATTATCAATAGCAACGTAGAACTTTGAACATAAGTACAGCAGTTCAAGTTGCCACACTACATTAGCACAGAGACGCAATTATCAATTCAAATCCCATAGTAATCGAGGTAGTAGAAGTATTAGCGGTAATGGCGAAGATTAGGGTCCGAAGATATCATTCAAGAAGTATAATCTAGGGAATTAATCTTAAAACGAGAAAGATAGAGGTGATGATGATGCGTCTGCGCCGTTGCAAACGATTTTGAGCGATGTCATTCAACCGTCGGTTACTATCGTCTCGCGGCCTTATTTGATTTACCATTAAAAATAAGGTGGCTGTTTTTTAGTTCTAAAACGAAACTACTTAGCACTGCTCACTCATGATCCCTATCAGGACCGAACATAGGACTTTCAAGTCTAGCGGCGAACGTCTGATCATTAGAACCACTGGATTGGAATTTACCGCGAGGCCCAAATCCTAAGTGCCCATTATTTAAGAAGTCCTAAATTAGGATGAAAAAGCTGTCGAGTAATCCTTGGTTTCCTGTGACATCCCTGCTCAGTCAATCATTATCAACATAGGACTTTTTGCATATGCAAATTAACTCAACTTACTACGCTATTTTAGCACGATGCGGTAAAATTAACAGAACAAATTCTGTATCAGGTTGCCTAAACCTCCGGTTACCCCAAATAAGATCATTTTTTTTGTGTGAATACAATCAACAAGTAGCTTGTCTATTATTATACACATGTGTGTATGTATATATGTGTTGATGTATTATTGCTTCGTAATTATTTGTGTTTTTTTTTCTTCATCATTTTCTATATGTGTAGCATTAAATGATGGTTGCCTTCGAAATATATCTTTAAGAATTCGTTCTTCACATATGCCACCAAGTGATACATTAATACATACTGGTGATTTACTCACAGCTGTATATTATGTTGTTAAAGGTAGTTTAGAAGTGATAACTACAGATGATATTATTTTAGGTGTATTAAATCCTGGTGATTTTTTTGGTGGTCTACCTCCATTAGCTAGTATTATACAAAAAAATCCTTATCATGTACAAATGACTACTGGATTGAATTCATTTCAAGAGAAAAATTATTTTAATCATATTAATAACAATGTAAAATGTATGTCAACGGAAGATTATACATCTTTACCAAATACTAATTATAATAATACCAATAACAATACGAATAATAATAATAATAATAATAATAATAACAATTTAAATGGTGTAATTTATCAACCAAATCCACCATCAAAATCACGTTTCGCTGTTCGTGCATTAACTTATACTGATGTACAATTTATTGACAGAAATGATTTAGCTGAATTGTGTTCTATTTATCCAGAATTATCATTAAGATTATTAGAACGTTTTGAATTAACATTGCCATTAACTATTTCATCTGATAAAAAAACCATCATAACTAAAGTAAGTGAATAATACTCCTTTTATTAATTGTCTAGTCATAGATTCAGTTATAATTGATATATATTATATATATCATTTAAAACTTGAAATATCTTCAGTAACTAATTAGTGTATTACAGCTATTGTCATGTTGATATAGAATGTAATTAGCTGTTTGAGACTCATCAATTAGTTGTGCTTGCATCTCAGATTCAACGTTGATATGATTATAAATTCATTGTTAACTGACTATTATTATTATTATTTTTATCATTCAACTGCAAAAACATTGGTTAAAGGGGCAACTAAATGTTTATGCGCTATACAAATCATTAAATTTGTGAGTAGGTTAGGATACTGTCTAGGTGCTCGAACCTTTGACCCAGAGGTCTAGTTCTCAAATCAGTGTAGAAACGTTTGGAGATGCAGTCCTGTGTTAGCCTGCGTCAGTCTATGAAGTCACCAACAACTAGATTGAGTCATTTTGGTAGGTGTCGACTACGTGGTTGGGGTTGGAGAGATGATAGAAATTGATGGTTAGAGACCTTGAACAACATAGCTCAAAACCGTTCGCAATGGCGCAGGTGCATTCGTTCTTTGTGTTCCGTCCATACCTAACCTTCTGACTTCTTCATCACTTTATCATTTTCTTTCTAAGCTTATTTCACTAGATTCTACTTCTTGAACCATAATCTATCCGATTATTGCTAATACTTTTAATTCCTCTACTATTATGGTATTTGGAGTGTCGATTTCATCTCTGTGATAATGTGATATGGCAACTTGAACTGGTGTACGTACGTACGAAGTTCTACGTTGTAACAAAAAATACCCGGGGAATTCGGGTCAAAAAATTACTACTGTTTAGACTTTAAACTTAAATACATGAATGTAATCACCTAATATTTATGCGCCATACAAATTATTAGATTTGTCCGATACTGTCCGAGTCTCCAAATCGAAACACGAGGTTTTCCTACGGGGCCATTCCCTGAGCCCTTAATCTATGAGTCTCATCGATAAGGCACTAGAGCAACGCTAAAAGATGCAGTCCCATGGTAGTTGATGACGAGCAATAAGTTCATATGCCATTTTCCCCTCAAGATCCTAGATCCCGTATGCACCATTGGTTTGGATTTATGGTTCTCCAACTCTTCTAGCTGGATCCTCGTTTAAGTGCTGGACATTCGCTTGATTGAGCTCGGTAGACCAAGTCGATGATTTTGTCAAAATGTTACGTTGTCAGAAATATTCAATAGGAAATCTAGATTTAAGTTCCACCTTGGTTAATTCTCTTTAGCAAGCGACCCCCATGATTTTAAGAAAACTGCTGCTTTTTATGTGTTCTTAACTAGGGTTACTTAGCTTCATAGTTGGAAACGGCTGAGAGTGGAGAGAGTCCGTTTCATCTTTCGAAATGCTCTATCATACTGCCACACGTATATAATAAGAACTTTTAGGAAAGTCCTGCTCACTGCCTTCTCATAACAAGGGTTTCATCTACGAAGTTAAGATGGCGAAAGACGAATGTCCGGTCAGTACTTAAACCAGGTTGCTGTGTACGGATTATCCACCTAGGATAGTTGGAAGATCCTCATTCCAAACCAATGATGCACATGAACTTCATGATCCAGATGGAACAAATGGCATCTGAACTTATTGTCTACCAACGGCTACTATAGAACTGCATCCCCTAACTTGACATCATTGATCTGTAGAATAAACATGAAAGCTCGGAATATCTATTTTTGTTTTCACTTGGTTGTAAACTACTTATTCGAATTATTTTAAGTAGCATAATTAGTGTTTCAGCAAAAACTTTTTGTATTGTATAGGATCATTGTTCTACTATACCTAGTATTGAACAATTCTTAGATGCAACATCAACATGGCATATTGTTTGTTCACTTTTAACTAATTCATTATCATCAAAACATTCATGTAATCATTCAAAATTATATACATTAAATGAATCATCATCATCATCATTTCAAAGTAGATATTTTGATAATCCATTTATTGGGAAACCACAATGGGAATTAGAACGTTACCAACGCTTATTTGATCATGGTGCATTGTCACTTCATTCAAACAGTTATTCAAATGCTGAAATTCCTGTATGTTTTATTGATACATTATATACTAATAATACTCATAATACTCACAATAATAATAATAATAATCCAGGTACTACTACACCGTTTATAAATAAATCAGAACCATTTATTATGCATTCAACACATTCATCGCCTATTACACCTGTGAGAAATACTCAAACACTGCATGAACGTCGGATGCGTATGCGATTAGCTCGTAATCTTCCAACTAAACCAACAACAACAGCACTATCATCATTTCTAATGCCACCCATCTCTTGTTCTTCGTCTATTTCAAATATTCCAATAAAATCCACGGATAAAATTAATCCTCTGTCTCATTCATCTGTGATATATCAACCGACAACTGAAGAGAAAGAAATTATTGATTTACTTGTGAAACGTTTTGCTAACGTAGAAAAGTAAGTACAGTTTTTTTTCAACCCTAAATGTGTACTTTCAATACTGTTATGTTCTCTGAACGAATTGGTTTGACGGCAGAACTTTCACTGTTATTCTGGATAGTATGTATGATCAACGCTAACGTTGTTCAGAGATGATGAACTTACTTATGCCTGTTGTCCTCATTTGTAACTGGTTCCCACTGTATGTTTGGTTGTCTTAGTTTGTTTTCTTTTTTCTAACTGATCATGTGATTGATGAATAATGTTTTAAGTGAGTTGATAAAGTGAGTGTAATTCAATGCATCCCTTAAGATTACTAAATATTATACTTCTGGATATTTCTTGATTCAGAATTTCGTTGTTTTTTTCGCAGTCTAATTTGTGATAATTAATTGTCTCCTTGAGTAGATATTAGTGATAACATAATCATCTTATCTTAATTATCATAGCTTATATTTGTGTATATACACATATGGGAATAATAGGTTGCTTACTTTTTCCAAAATAGTACTGAATATAGTTGGGACAATTTACTTTGTAGATAACGAACAGTCATATATAAAATACCTTTCAAATGTTTTTAAAGTTCCTCTTGAAGATTTCTTGAGATTCTGTTCATATATCGTACGTTAACTATCGATTTTCAAATATTATTCACAGCCCAGCTATACTAAAACAAACTGATTTAACGGCTGAAAGATAAATAATAATAATAATAATAATAATAATAATAATAATAATAATAAAGAAGGGCTAATGATGTTGACAACATCAAAGGCTTTTTCATTAAAACATTTAGCTCAGTATAATTATGTTCTCTTTCATACTATTCGAAGAGAGTTGGTTTATTTTACATAAATTATTTACAAGATAAGTAAAATTAACTACCGTAATTCCTGTACTATTTTACTTCCTGTCCCTCTATTTCATTTGTTAATTTTGATGCATATTTCCGAGCATATTTATCTAAGTTTGGGTTGCGGTTCTCTTCTTCAAAATGCAAGATGCTGCTTCAGGATTGGTTTACATCAGCACTTGAATTAGCGATAGGGACTGAAGTAGTTGAGCGTATTGACCACTTCGCTCATCCGAGGAGTCTCATCAGTGCTGATGGCCTGATGACTGACAAAATCTCGGCACGGATACAGAAGGCTCGATTGGCTTTTGCCAACTTGCGTCATTGATGGCATAGGCAAGATATCCGTTTGCTAACCAAAGGTCGAGTTTCTTGTGCAGCAGTTCCCTGTATCTTACTATATGGATGCGAAACATGGCTCGTGAGAGTAGAGGATATATGTAGATTGCTTGTTTTCGACCAAAGGTGTCTCCGAAGCATTGCTCGTGTATCCTACGACAACTGAGAAAACAATGCTGGTGTTAGGAAACGAGTACTAGGTAGGGATGACAGGTCAATAGATGAAAAAATGAGTGTTCATCAGTTGAGGTGGTTGGGACATGTGTTACGTATGCCTACCTATCGACTGCCTCGTCGAGCTATGTTTTGTGGTGTAGGGTTAGGCTGGGAGAAAGCTAGGGTTGGCCAAACCAAAACATGGCAGAAATCCATTACGTCACTGAGAAGTGAACTGAGCCATGTCGGTAGGTGTCGACTACTTGGTTGGGGCTCGCGAGACAATAATAATCGTCGGTTTTTGAGCCTGAATAACATGGCTCGGAATCGTTTTCAATGGTGTATTTGCATCCATTCTTTCCATTCTCTGAAATCTTAATCTGTATTTTTCATCATTACCTTTCTCTTTTGAATTTTATTTCTCTTGATTATACTTCTTGAACAACATCTTCCAACCCTAACCTCTCCGATTACTGCTAATACTTCTATTACCTCTATTACCATAGGATTTGAATAGACAATCGCTTCTCTGTGTTGATTTGGTATGGTAACTTAAACTGATATTCGTACGTACGGGTCCCACGTTGTAACTGAAGGACTGATTACAGTGTTATTTTCTTACAAAGGAGGAATGGAGTGAGGTACAAGAGGAACTCTTTAATTCAAGGTTATTTTGTGTAAGGAAAAATGTGGATGTTTATAAAGTTACGTGTGATCTTGTGCTTCTATGGGTTTCGTTAACCTGATCCAATATATTTCTGGTGTTGAAAAATATCTAATCAAAGTGGTGGTGCGTGAAACTGCATTTTCTAGATGCTTCTGTGAAGATCCTATAAACTGTTCATTGTGTGAAACGCTTGCTGGCGTTTTTTGGACTTCGAGCAATATTTTTGAACTCCTCAATTGATTTCATGTTATGTTATGCTGTAGGGTGCTATATTTTCTTTTCAATGATACAAATTTCTGTATAGCTAAATGAGGCTGTAAATCGTTTTATGAATGGAGGTGACTTCGATAGACATTAAGTGTCTCAAACTACTCCCAGATATTTCGGCACTTGATATTGACCTTGGTAGAATTAGGCTGGAAGGCAATTGGTGAGTCCAAAACATAAGCTAGTTTTAGTCGTTAAAGTCAATGACTGTTGGAGTTAACCATGTGGAATGGTTCTGATTTGTCTCCGTGCGACAATATATAATTAGTAGATAACGTTGTTAAGTGACACGATTCAGAAGAGATCGTGACTTTTTTTACTTTGGTCACATTATCTATGCGTTATTATTTCTACTATTACTGATACTGTTATTTTATTAATCTGGGATTTGTCTTGATAGTTTTCGTTTCCCGTGTTGGTGTACCAGTTCAAGGTTAAATCATTTCAATCGCCCAAATATTTAAAAACAATGGTATTAGAAATTAATTTATTTGGATATGGTGAACTGTGTTTATTGTTGAAATTTATATCACGGACTAACTTTAACTAGTCAAGACACATTCGACATCTTTTTTGTTTCGGTATTTAACTCTTCAGCAGTGAGAATCTATGACCCGCCTTAGAACAAACCCAGAATCTTCAGATATCACGAAAAGTCCTTAATTTTGATACAACTGAGTTAATATCCACTGGTTTATATGGATAAATTCAACCAGTTTGCGGTCACAGAGAGAGCTGTCGATCTTGAAGTCGATTCCCGATTGGGACTGTGTGTGTGCAGTACTGACGAGAAGCTATACACTAGAATATAATACATGTCAACTACTGGTTATATAACTGAAGGGAGTTTGTGAAATAAAAATTTTGCTTTTTATTCCCTAGTCTATCCTTTTTCCAATCAACAGTCAAAATAATTTCTTTTTTGATCAGATTTATTGTTTATTGACCTTTTTTTTCTACATAACATGAATATATTCTGTCTTTTTATGTACCACTCATAATTATTATATTTGGTTTACTATGATGATGTTAGTAGTAAGAATATATTGTAAAATAAAAATCAGTACCGAATTCAGGTCAAGCGTTATAGGCGTGATCAATTTGATACAATTCACCTGGTAATAATTGCACTCATCTTCATGAAAATTTAAGTTTTTTTTTTTTTGTTTTTCAAAAAACACAACATTTTCTCAGTCGCATTAAAATGGATATTTTGAATGAAATTAATGAAAATGAAGAAAATCGTGGAATAATGCTAATTCACTAGATTATACTACTTGAATAACATCTTCCAACCCTACCCTTTCCGGTTACTGCTTCTCTGTGTTAATGTGGTATGGTAACTACGTTGTAACTGACTGACTGACTGACTGACTTAGTCTACATTCGCATCGAACGTTTGACCTTTATATCTTGTGACGAGCGCCTCAGCTTTAAACCAATACTAATAAAATAATTACAATTTGGGGATATCCCAATGAATATAAATTTGTCTGTCTGACATTTTGTGACTGTATGAATCACTTCTTCAGAGTAAATAAAAAATAAATCAAGTGAATTAACGCAAGTTTAAATAACAGAAAGGAGACTAAGCGGAATACTTTTAGTACAATCAGAATCATAAAGGTTCTGAACATGTCTATGTGATTCTAGGTGATTCTGTATGAAACATTAGTGTTCATTTTTATCTGTAATGGTACGTAAGAAAGAATATATCATATATGACATGGAGTATTGGAGTTAGTGCGTGTATCCGTAGGATTGTTTAGATGATGAATTGAGTCAGATTTGGTTATCTGGAAAAACAATCCAGCTTGAATGAATAATTAGGTCGTCTTTCCCATGAAAGGCAGAAGGATTTGACATCATATGAAACGCTATGGCTACTCGTCTCTTTTTATAGTAGGAAAGATCTCTCTGCATTATTAGATGTCGATTAGCTGGTGATTGTAAAAAGCAAGTATTGCCACTGCTGATTCAATTCGTAATTTTCTCAGTTCTGCGAATTTGTTGCGAGGTTTTCTTGTGTAATTCAAGTGTTCTTTGGTACGAGTAGAGATTTCACGATAAGGCTCTCCAATATAGGATGCATCACAACCGATACAACCTAGTTTGTATGATTAGTTTTGTGTGGATCTTGTTCTTGATTTTAACTGAAGCAGTTCTTGGATAATTGGTTATTTTGTAGAAAGCTTTCATTCTGAAAAATTTTAAAATTCGTTGTAATTCTTCTGTCGCACCTTGGCGGTAGGGTAAAACCATAGTACCAATCCAAAGACTTTCATTAGAATTGTTGATTATAGATAGATATTTTCGTTTTAATAAGCTTTTAATAATACTGGGCTGTAAAATGTTTATTGTATTATCTTTTTCCTTTAATTGATCTTCTGAAGTAATGATTCTGGTAACCCTTTGGAATAGATTCACAACCATGGGAATTTTTGTACTGAATAGTTGTGCAGAGCTAACATCAGTGTACAGATTTGTTGGTTTTCGATATTTGATTCGATCTGTATTTCCATTAAAATTCTTTCTGACTAAACAATCCAAGATAGGTAGTTCACTACATTCATTTTCGTAAGTGCACTTGATGTTTTCAAACAACATGGTTATCATTTTAGAGAAATTTATCAGTCTTTAGTAATGACTAATGTGTCATTCGATCTGATGATACTGGCATGAATGAACGATTCAATATGGGACACAAATATGTTTGTAGAAATCACAAATCCCACGACAAATTCATTCGTCTGCTGATATAAAATCCCGTTAAGGGATTTCAGTCAGTGACTTAATGGATTTCTGCCATGTTTTGGTTTGGCCAACCCTAGCTTTCTCCCAGCCTAACCCTACACCACAAAACATAGCTCGACGAGGCAGTCGATAGGTAGGCATACGTAACACATGTCCCAACCACCTCAACTGATGAACACTCATTTTTTCATCTATTGACCTGTCATCCCTACCTAGTACTCGTTTCCTAACACCAGCATTGTTTTCTCAGTTGTCGTAGGATACACGAGCAATGCTTCGGAGACACCTTTGGTCGAAAACAAGCAATCTACATATATCCTCTACTCTCACGAGCCATGTTTCGCATCCATATAGTAAGATACAGGGAACTGCTGCACAAGAAACTCGACCTTTGGTTAGCAAACGGATATCTTGCCTATGCCATCAATGACGCAAGTTGGCAAAAGCCAATCGAGCCTTCTGTATCCGTGCCGAGATTTTGTCAGTCATCAGGCCATCAGCACTGATGAGACTCCTCGGATGAGCGAAGTGGTCAATACGCTCAACTACTTCAGTCCCTATCGCTAATTCAAGTGCTGATGTAAACCAATCCTGAAGCAGCATCTTGCATTTTGAAGGGGAGAATCGCATCTCGAGTATAATTGCATTGTTGCTTAAGACGTCCAAAAGACTCTGTATCTTGTCGACGTCTTCAGCATGTAGAACTATGTCATCGGCATATTCTAAGTCAACAAGGGAGTATCATGGTAGAAGATCATCTCCTGAAAATTCAGAGGAAGATGGTGCTATCTCTAAAAGCATGTGTATGACAAAATCGAACAAGAATGGGGAAAGTGGACATCCCTGACGGTCACCATTTGAAGTAATCAGTTCCGATAACAATTTGCCATAATCACAACTCGACTAGTAGCGTTCGAATAGAGAGTTTATAGAAGGTTTATGCACTTTTTTGGTACACCTTTTATTGACAGACACGGCCACAGAACATAACGATCAACAAAGTCAAATGCTGCTTTGTGGTCCTGGACGTCAACTGTTATCGAACGATGAATTGTATGTCTGTGTTGTAGATTTAGAGGTTTGGGTTAACAAAAGCGGCTAGGAAAGCAGATCTTGAGTTCATTTAGCAGAATTATCAAAATCAATGCTTGTTAATTATTTTTTACAATAAGTATTAACTTTTGTTTAATGATTGATTGTTCGGAGGACAATTTACTATCACAATCTCATACATTATCTTTTATAAAAAAAATAAGGTCAACACACAAATTTTATCAATCAGTCAATCAATTTCTTATTTTTCTTCATGAAAGAGACAGATAACATCATGCAATATTCCGAAGTCATAAAGTATGTATGTTTTTGCTCGATATAGGTGGTTATCTGAGCATATCTGCAGCAGACGGTAGCCATTATCTGTTCTCTGAGCCGCGACACTATCCAGGTGTCTTTCCTTTTTACTGAGTCTATCTTCTTGAACATTGAGTTCACCAGCCACTATTACTATACCAGAGCGTCCAACTATTTGGATGATTTCCGAAAGCTTTCTGGAAAACTCATTTTTAACCTTGTCTGAACTGAGTGTATGAAGGATTGGATTGTAACGAATCCGGTCTCCTTAGCTGTGATTAGTATGAAGGCTGATATTATTTCTCGGCTGCCCACATCGTGGATGGGCCGACCAGTATTCTCCTTTTACCTTGAGGGTTGCAAGTGAGAGCTTGTATTGTGACACAGTTGGGCGCTTTTTGAAGTGTGTCTTATTCACTTCCTCCACTTCTTCTTGATAGGAATTTCGACTGTTCTCTCCCACAGTAATTTGTTGCTGATGGTGTCTGATTCTGTTGTTGATTGATAGTTGTTTGGAGTTGCAGATGTTATTCATTCGTTGAAATGCAACCGTTGATTTGCCGATCCGCGCCCTCACATCTGCATCGGATCCACCTTGATTGTCAATGATATTGCCCATATATGTAAAGGTGTTAACATCCTCCAACGCACCTCCATCAAGAGTGATTTGGTTGGTGCATGAAGTTTTGTATTGGTGAATCGGAGAATCTTGCTTTTCCCTTTAAGTGTGTTGAGACCTGCTACTTCTGAGGCTTCTACTAAACTGGTCGACTTCTCTTATATTTGTTGTTGAGTGTGCGATGGAAGAGCTAGATCATCTACGAAGTCCAGATCGTCCAGCTGCATTATGGCTGTCCATTGGATACCGTGCTTTCTTCCAGATGTTGACATCTTCATAATCCAGTCGATGACCAGGAGAAAGAGAAAGAGTGAGAGTAACCAACCTTGCATGACACCGGGTCTTCAACTCGAACGAGTCTGTGAGCTGTCCTGTGTGCACAGTTTTGCAGTTTAATCTGTCATATGATGTTGACCACCTTCTCAGGCACGCTGTAGTGTTTCAGAAGCCTCCACAGTGTTTTTATGTACAATCTGTAGAATGCTTTCTCGTAGTCAATGAAGTTGATGTATAGTGGTGAGTTCCATTCAATTGATTGTTCCACAAATAACCGTGATGCTGCAGTTTGGTCGGTACATGATAAATCCTTACGGGATTCAGCCTGTTGATCTGGAAGTTGGGTGTCTACGAAGTTCTTCATTCTGTTTAACAACAGTTTGTTGAGGACTTTACCTGGTGTTGAAAGAAGAGTGATGCCTCCGTAGTTCTCACACTTGCTGAGATGGCCTTTATTCGGTATTTTGATGAGGTGTCCTTCTTTTCAGTCTGTTGGTACTTGTTCTTCATCGCAAATGTTGTTGAAGAGAATGTGGAGTATCCATCCAGTTTCTGCCACGTCTGCTTTGATTGCCTCTGCTGGAATGTTGTCTGGTCCTACTGCTTTGCAGCTTTTGAATTATCTGATGGCCATACTGATCTCTTTAATTGTTTTAGGCCCAACATGGATTGGGTGCTCTGTTGGTGCTGCTTCGATGTTGGATGGATTTCGTGGTGCTTGTCGATAGAAGAGTTCCTTAACATGCTGCTCTACCCACTTGTTTCGCTGTTCTTCAATGTTGCTGATCGCTTTTCCTTCCTTGCTTTAAATCAATTCAAAAAGGAACCTGAATGTTTTCGCACCACAGAAGTTACTGGATTTATGAGTTGGCTGGAATAGTACTCGGATGCCTTGGCCGAATGAGGCTGTTTTCTCATGGGGTCACCCTCTTATCCGTCGATCCAAAAGTCTAATTTGGAAGTTAGCAGAGCATCGCTAAGATATGCAGTCTCTAGGTAGTCAGTGATGAACAATAGGTTCATACTCCATTTTTTCCATTAGGATCCTGCGGTTCATATGCCTCATCGGTTTTTAATGAGTTTTTCCTACCGTACCCATTACCTCGGTTTAAGCCCTGAACAGATGTTCACTTTTCATCCCCTGCATTTGTGTTTAACACTGAGTAGGACTTTCTTGATAGTTGCTGTATACGCGTGACTAAATAAAAGTATTTGGAGAGGGGGAGAGCAAACCATCCTCTCTCCCCTAGCTGTACTAGGATATTTGGTGGTAAACCTCTCGCTTGCTATGCTAAAATCGTATACTATTTCAGTTAGTTTGTATGTTTATTTTTTTTACCATATAAAGAATAATACGTATCAGTGTTATTCATTTCTAATACATTTGATTTCAATAATTATAAATCATTGAGTTTATATTTTTATTTTTAAAATAAAATAAAAAATCATCATTTATATGTTATTCATTTGTTTATTTATTTACAGACAAATTGAAAATCTTGATACTCGTATTTCTCAATCGGTTACTACTATTTTGCAACAATTAGAAACAAAATTAACAAAGCATCGATCACAATTCCAATATGATCGATATAATGAGTAGTTTTTAATATAACCCTCTTTTTTTTCACATTATTTCAAAGATGATTGCTCAAGTATATTTTATTTTCTTCTTTTCTCTTTTTAAAAGAAACAGTTCTCATGATATTGATATTGTTAGTGTTCGTTTTCTTTTTTCTTGAGAGAGATGAATGAATTAAGGTGTTTACAGTTTTTCATCTTTATGATGACTGAATCAAATGTTACTGATCATTTGTTAATAGAAAACTAATTTTTTTTTTAGTTGAATAAAAAGAATGAGGTTGTCATTTTCTTTTTTAGTTTTGATCATTAATTTATGTAATTTCGTTGTTTTTTTTTTCTTTATTTCAATTATTCAATCATGTCTATTGTCATTTGTTATACTACTACTACTACTACTAGCAACAACAATGTGTTATAGCAAAACTATATGAATTTCTTTGAATTGTATTTACTTTAACGTCCCTCTTTGTATTTGTCGATAAAATAATAATGTTATCAAGGTCAACATGTTACAATCTTTTCCAGATGTTATTGTCTTTTTTTTTCAATGGATTATCTTTGATAATCAATGCTTTAGTTCTTAGTGTTTTCATTGTTCTGGTTGGTGTTGTTTACACACACACACACACACGAACAAATAACATGTAATGTAATCAAATGAACAGTGCAATAACTATCAACTTTCCTTTTTTTCTTGTTTGTTTTTTTTTTGCACATCTTTCATTCATTGTTCAATTCATGTTTACAATTAGTAATTGTTTTGTATCTGTTTGATATGTTCGAATTTTTATTCATCTAAAATATGTGCAATATATATATATATATATATATATGTTTACAAAATAAACACTCATTCATAATCATCATCTATACAACATAGTATTATGTTTATTCTTTAAAAAAAATAAAAAGGCATTGAACACTGAACACATATCCAATGCATAAGATTTATGCAATGAATGAATGATTAAAGAAGAAAGAAAGAAAAAAAGATATTGGAACATTGAACAGTTAGTGCAATATAATAAGCAAAACATGTTTTCTTCAAACATGATAATTGTGTTTATTTGTTTTTTAATGTTTATTTGTCTCTTTTTTTGAAAAAAAAGAACATTCATCTTCATTCTCTCTCTGTAAAAATCATATAGATTTTTATCATTTCTTTGAATATTCATAAAAAAATGCATTTATTATTCTCTATCATGTAGGAGATTATTGATTATTTGTCATTTTACACTGTTAACTACTAACAAGTAAAGATCGTTTGATTGAGTTTTATTTTTTGTTGTTGGCCACCTCTTTTTTGTTTCTCAAAAAGTAGTTTTCTATGTATAATTTCTTTTTTTTCAATTAGAATTTGTCAATTGTTATGAACAAAAGAGAAAAAAACGAGAAAACCATTGTCTATAGTTATTGTTGTTACATTGTAGAATTTTATAATTGAAATGAACTTTTCAACAAATCTCAACATTAACATACTTGATCATATGTATAATAGCAATAATTATTATTATTGTCATCATCATTATCATCATCTTAGAGTTAAACACAGTAATTGATGCAAAACCATGTATACAATCGAATTCTTTGACATCATATGTATAATTCAACCTATAACAAAGACGACGACAACAATGACAATAACAGTGGACCAATTTGCATTGTTTATTTTATTTTCGTTATTTCTAGTCTACCTTCTCTTAAGTTATGTTCATTACAACAATTGATAATAATAATAATGATAATAAGTAATACTCTTTCTTTCTTTCTTTCTTTGATTACTACATCATTTAGAATGATAGATATGCTATGAACAGTTTAAATAAGTAGTTGTATAATGTTTAAAAAAATATATGTACTATTTAGTAAACATGTTGTGATTTCCTATTTAATTATGTTGACACAAACTATAAACAATTATGTTGTTTTTTTTGAAAAAATAAATTAGAATGATTAATCTGTGTTTGCCTTTGTGTGTGTTTTACATGCATTTTTTATTTGGACTATGATTTATCGTTTTTCTAAAAACAAATTACGTATATACTTTTATTGAAATTCGAATAGTGGCTTACAGTGCACCGCAAGATTCACGTATCATTCTCTCTGTAGACAATCACATTTTATTCTTCTAGTTAGCGTTTATTTTGCAAGATTCTTTTCATAGAGTGTTGTTGCGAACCCTATGTATAACCCTCTTCCTTTATCTACCTTTGGTACTGGCAGTAATCATAGGAATGGCTTTAAGTAGATTTGATACAGGTATGCTCAGTTGATGTAAGTCTCGACTAGAACAGAACAGAAGTTTTGAATTCGACTTCTACCCTCTAACTAACCTAACTGAAAAAAACCTATGACTAAATATGCACTCAATACAGATATACCAAAAAAGGAGTATTACTTTCAACTCTTGGCATCATCAGCTGGAATGTACAAACTGTTTCAGAAACTGCCTATTGTATCGTTGAAGTGCTTTAATCTGATAAAAAGTTTACGTATCGTTTATATTCTATTGATCGGTCTCAGTGAAAATATCGTTAAAAATGAAGTAACACGTTGTAAGACTGTTCCCTCCTAGTATAGTAAAATGAATATTATTTACAAAGTAATCTATTTTAAGTGTTTTTTTTTATCTCAAACACAGTTTTGTTGATTTAGTTTAGTAATTAGAAGAGATCAGTGCAATTTCAAAGCAATTTCCGCTACATGTTAATATCAGCTAAAATAGTATTAAAATTTTGGAGGGATTCTACGGTTGTTTTATTGTTAAAATGAATCCGCCACCTTTGTGACTCATAGCAATCGTGTTAGATTTACTTAGAATCTAATATCCCATATTTTTAACTTGAGTTATTTGGTTCAATGATTATCCATACTGTGATACCTCTTTTACTTGCAACAGTACACCACCGTATTGGAATGATATTCTGTTTCAGTTATTGAAAATCGACTTTTGAATAGATATTGGTATGTAACTTCATTTTGTCGGAACTGAGCCATCATTCCTTATGCTTTTCCTTTTGATTTAACATATGACTAGGTTACTACTAGTAATGAAATCAATCAAGTCATTAGCAAAAATATTAACTGATAATCATCAGTATATGATTGAAAGATTATTAAGTTTTAATGAAATCATGAATCAATCTAAGCTAGACTACCACTGACAACCTGGAAGCATTCGAAGGTCGTTTTGCCGTTGTATAGGACTGCTCACATGTGCCCATCTACTATTCCAGAAGTAGGAATCGAACCCAGGAACTTTGGTCTTCTGCAACAACGATGCATAATATAAACTTTGGGACTATAACTGAATTAATCTTTAAAGACAGTGTATGTATGTTAGTTGCATGAATTCTTAGGTAATAGGTTCAAGTTGTATAGATTGAAAAGTTTTAAACTGGGATGTAACACTTTTTTTTTTAGTTCTTTTTGATATCAGTTCATTTATAAAATGTGTGTTATACGGCATTAAATATAAATGCAACAGATTAACAAATACATTTCTATTAATTGTATTGAATTGCATTTCTTAAAATCAATGCATCATTATCTTTCTCCTTTTTTTTTACTTTTTCTTTCTATGAATTATTATTTCAAGTTGTAATGACTACAAAACCAGTTTCTGAAATAGAATTATATGAATGGAGTAAATGTTTAATTGATCCATCAGCGAAATTAATTGATCGTTCACGTGCTCTATGGGGATTACGTCATGCGAAAGAATCATTAGCACTTGAATTATTAGCTGATTTTATTTGTAATTATATTCAACCATCCCCTGTAGCTAATGATTTATTACAACATGAAGCAGCTTATTGTCTTGGACAACGTGGTGATTCAAAAGCTGTACCGTATCTTTTACAAGTATTAACTAATGATAAACATGTTACACTTATCCGACATGAAGCTGCTGAAGCATTAGCTGCATTAAGTGAATGTGATCATGTTGATGATATTGACATGATTGAGAAAGCTTTAAAACAATTTACACATTCACCTATTATTGAGGTAAATAAAGAAATAACTAGTCAGTATTGTTTTATTAATTGTAATTTACTTTTGAATTGATTAATGATTACATTATACATTTGACTTTATTTTTGTTTTTGTTTTTTTAATCGACAAGTTTAGGGATTAACAGTATCCAATGTGTAATTAATAAAAATTACAGATTACAAATTTTCTTCATTTTGCCTAGTATTATTATTAGTATTCATAATTAAGGTGTGGTTCATATTCAAGTGTGTAAAGATGTTGTTTAAAATGAAATGAATAAAGATGTAAATTAATTTCTAAATGGATGATTGATTGTTCAATGAAAAAGAAAGTTTCACGTAAACTTATATTACACATTCTAATTCGACTGGTTAATTCATCCTAAAATATACACTGTTAGTTAGTTATTGAAAATGATGACAAACTTTTATACAAAATATTATATTGTTTATTCTAAGAAGAATAAAAAATAAATTGCCTCCATTTTTATCTAGTTTTTTATAATTCTAAATGTTGAAAAGAACATCATCATTATTATTGTTAGTATTGATTGCACCTAGTAGGAAAAAAAAAACAGACATAATATACTTTCTTTTCTTTTTAGGACTAGAAAATTTTTTTCTGATTTTGATAGTTTCCAACTAATTAACATCAACATGGAATGTGAATTCATTTAGCCAAATATAATTGATAGCTTAATAACACCTCTTATCCCCCAGTGAAGCATAGGTCACCGACTAGCATTCTCCAACCAACTCTATCTTGCATTCTCCTTTCCATTTATTCTCAACTGATATTCATTCTTTGAATGTCCATCTCCAATTCTCAGCGCAATATGTTCTTTGATCTGCCTATTTTCTTCCAGCCGTGAGGATTCACCTTGATAACTTTCTCAATATGTGATCTGTCTACCTCCAGCGTCTTTTCGTTGTTTTCTCCCTCATCTGGAAGCTCGTTTATTCTCTGCCACAGTAGATTGTTACTGATGTCTGAACAATGAATATGCAGTATTTTGCATACACAACTGTTTATTAATACGTGTATAGTTGAATGATAGTTTTGGTAATTCCTCAAGTTTCAGTTCCTTACACGATTGGTAGCATCTGATCATTATTCTTCTGGACTAGACAAACATGATATTATTTACTGTTCTCTGATAATTCAGTATATGTGTATCAAGTTCTACAAGAGATCATCTGTGATCCGTCGTGCGCTTTCTGGGTGATAGGGATTCTAATTACACAAAAAGCATCGATTCTCTTAAAATTATAGGTACACCTTACTGACGTGTGTCATTTAATAGAAAACCTCTTAACAACTGCTTCCAAAAACTTCTCGTTAGTACTCTACATTCCTCTGTGTAGAACTCGAACTTTATTTGATCATATGATCTTCGTCAATATCATTAATTATTATTATTATTATTATTATTATTATTATTATTATTATTTATCGATATTGTCAGAATAATGAAATATAATTTCTAAAGATTGTATTGTTTGGTCATTTGTCAAAATCACTTTATCTCATTGTCTAATTGACTAATGTATAAATTGATTGATGCAACCATTTAACATAATCTTCACACTGTTATGATCATCAAAATGTTGTTCATTTGAATTTTTATATTTTGCTTTAATCACTCTTCTGCTTTTATGTATTTCTGTTTTCTTTTTAAATCATGAAATAAGTAGTAAATAACGTCAGATCCAGATCTATTTACCTAAAAATATTTATTTTATTAGACTCTTTTGATTAAAGGCGATTGTTTTTGGTAAAGTGCTTTTTTTGTCTTTGTGATATGAATGCGTGAATAACTATTATAGGTAGCGTATGTGTATGTAATTGCATTGGTGATTGGACCCTACATTGAATTGTAAGTTTAAGTCCAACGCTACCATTATCAATCATCAAGATAGTTGAACATAATGACAAAATTATGATCTTTACACATCAATCAAAGTGTGTAAATCAACAGCACACTCCTATCTTCTTGAAGTATGCAGAAACTATGCTAATTGTAATTCATTTGCCAAGTACAGGTTTACTCACTTCACTTTAACTCAAACTTTTGTGTGTATTTGTTTGTGCACTGGCCAGTGATACTACTCAACTGTACAAACTAAAGTAGATGTAGAAAGATTCACACTTGTGAAAAACATTAATCAAAAAACTACAGTCATTTAATCAAGAAAATGAATTTTACATCTTTCCATCTGTCTTTCTATTTATAGTGGATTTCATTGTCAATGATCATACATATATATATATATATATATATATATATATATATATATATATATCCACTCCTTATGGTTTTGCTTCTTGTGACCCAGAACCTCCTGACATTTTGCAGTTAATGCATTCTTTATCCCATTCCAATTTTTCTCCATGGTTGTTTCCTCTCCATTGAGTAGATCGTGCAAGGCGTGGAACCTGTTGTTGAGGGCTATCTTGAATGCGTCCAGTATCCCGAAGAAACGCCGTATTAAGCTTTTATGATGTTGTTCGCCTGGTGTCCAGTGTTTCTTGAGTTTCAGTTTCATTTTGGCGACCAGCAAGTGGCGTTTTAAGGCTATATCAGCTCCTCTCTTGATTCTTACGTCCTCCTCGGTCCTTCCGAACTTTTTGTCGATGTAGATATGGTCAACTTTGTCCTATATAGTTTGATCCTGTGAAACCCATGTAGCTTCTTGTATGCGTTTGTATGGGACATTGTGCCGACGATGATCAGTTTGTTGAAGGCACAGTCATCGTTCCTTTCTCCCACTCTATGTCTTCCTATGATGTCTTCATATCCAGTGTTGTCCATGCCAACCTTAACATTTAGGTTTACAATCAGAATGGTCAAATCCTTTGATGAGCATCTGTCGACGATTGACTGCAGCCTTCCGTAGAATTGGTCTTTAAGTTCTTCATGGTAGTCGTTGGTAGGTGCATAGCATTGGATCACATTCATTGTAATGCTGTCTTTCCTTGTTTTGAAGGATGGTTTGATGTTGTCGGGTCCATGAGATAACCATTTCATAAGTGCCTTTTGAGCTTGTCTGGACAAAATCGGTGCAACTCCCTGTGTATGTGTGAGGCGTTTTCCTCTTCATGACCAGAGCAGAGTTAAAATGGTTTGTATAATGTTTTTTGGTTGGTGTTTTTTAGCGAGTTGGTTATTTTGTGGGATGGCGTCGTCAACCCCATGCCCAACCGTCCTCCTTTATCCGGGCTTTGGACCGTCAGTAGCCCCAGAATTGCTCCAGGCGAAGTTGTAATTAGTACCTACCACAGTGTAAATATGATTTCAATGTAATTATAGAATAATACATGTAATTGAAAGCTTAATGTAATTGTCAAAGTAAAAGAAAATATTTTTCAATCATAAAATTACTCCATCCATCTACACTGAAAAAGATGACTCAAAGGCGAATAAGAAAATTCAATTTAAGATGAAAACAAACTTTACTGAGAGCTTTCAGTGATTTCCGAAAAAACCTTAAGGAAGTAAAGCGAGTTTCCATCCAGATAATTGATTTTCGACACATCATAAACCCCGAAATCTGTCAGAATTAGGCGTTTGATATAAAGTTAGCAGAATAATATATAACTATGGCTGATGAATAAATAGTAAGTTAGACAGATTTATTATTTCAAATCACTGGGACATTGAAAAATTCGTAAATCACGTTTAAATGTCCATGCCTTTGAATTCGTTTCATTTTTTTTTCAGGACAAATTAATCACTTACTCATCGTCAGTTTATAGACTTGTTTACTTTCATCCCCTTATTATTTTACTTTTTCACATTTTTCAATCTTAAGCGTTTTACAAACTAAATATTGATGGATTTTTCTTATTTCTTACGTAAATCTCAACCAAATAGAAACTTTCCATTAGCGTATTTTAAATTTCGCGCTAAATTTATGGAACTCTATCTTGAATCGGATTGATTTGTCCATGTAGTTTAATTTTATCGCATTTACATTATTAAGTTTGGTACTTTATTGGATCAAGACAATGCAAGAATAGGTTACCTTCGGCTATAGTATAGTATCGGAAATTCCAATTCCTCTCACTACGTATTTTGTTATGAGTTGTGTATAAATGTTTACCTATTACATAATCTATATTCATTAAAATGTGTAGAAATTCAATATATACCATGAATATTGTTACTGTTTTATATTATGCAACAGTTTTGATTACTAAGTTAAGTATTTTTTTGTAAATTCAAAAAAAAATAAAAAGAGAATACAGCTGTCACATAACGCCACTACACTCCAAGTTTTTACATTATTAACAACACATTGAAAGAAAATATTTGAGAATGCTTTAAAAAGTAAAAAAAATAACAACATTTGTACACGTTTACTTTGCTACTATCATTACTAATAAAATGCTTGAATTCTAATGAACCTAAGATGATGAATTTATAAACAGAGATAAATGATGACTAGCAGTAGAATACAGGACTTACGTTTCATCCTGTTTTTTTAACAAAATTGAGACATTTCGCACAGTATGCTGCACATATTATGCCAAAGAGACTGATCAGTTGCTTTACTAACTATCAATGTAAAAGATCCAAATGATCAATACAAATGTATGATGAGTTTAAATTAGTGCATTTTTGTAAATAGTTACTCATTGTACAGAAAGTACTTAAAATGTTTTTCTATCATTATTATTATTATTATTATTACGTAACTATTTCAAAATATTTTCTAACTCTTCACTTCTAAACAGTTGGCTGAAACATGTCAAGTCGGTTTGAGTCGTATTGAATGGATCAAAAACAAGAAAATAGCACAACATAAAGATTCTCAAACATCCAATGATTTAGCCAGACAATTTTTTCCAAATACAATTGATCCAGCGCATAGTTTTACTAATGATGATCAATACTATACTGATGAACAATTACGTGATTTATTAATGGATCCCAATGAAAATTTATTTACACGTTATCGTGCATTGTTTACTTTACGCGATCGTGTTCTACAAGCAATCATTGATAAAACATCTCCAGAAAAACCAGCTAATCTATTAGCTGAAGGAATAACAGCATCAAATAGTGCATTACTTAGACATGAAGTTGCTTTTGTTTTGGGACAATTAACAATAGCTAGTACTGTTCCATATCTAACAAAATGTTTACGTCAATTAGATGAACATCCAATGGTAAGACATGAAGCTGCTGAAGCACTTGGTTCGATTCTAGGCGAATTAGAAGGAAAATATTTAACAAGTAATGTAAAAAGTTCTGTACCAAAAGAATTTGAACATCATGCACGTGAAGTATTAGAAGAATTTACAAAAGATAAAGAGCCAGTAGTTCGTGAAAGTTGTATATTAGCTTTGGATATTGCGGAATATATTGCATCACCAGAACAATTTCAATATGCTTCTGTGCCACAAAATTAACTATTACTACTTGCTACATAAGTAGTAGTATCAATAATACACTCTTTCTTTATTAATAGGCATTTTTTCCATTTTTACCTACTTATTGTTGCAATGCTTTCACGATCGATTCTAATTATCATCGTATTTCTAATTCAGGGATTATTGTTTATCAATTTTGTTAAATAGATAAACAATTACGTACAATTGTCATTTTGTCGGAACTATAGTTTTCTGGGCAAACCAATTGCGTGTAGGTTATTTGTGCGTAGTTAATTCATCTATATAGTCGCACATCATGTTATGGCTGATGTCAGTTCATTATTAAAATCCCCGACTCTAATTCCAAACTTTAACATCCAACTCTAAATCCTATTCCAATGCATTACGCTAATAAGTGGATATCCTCAGGGTCACTTTGGCATTGCTCCAAGGTCGTCCGTAAATTATACCCTTAATATTTTCTCGCCTTAAAATGTGGCTTTTTTTAGTCGATTGAAGATAGTTTTTCACCATATAGATATAAAGATTGTTGTTTTACATTTGAAACCACAAATTGTTGAACCTCCATTGGGAACTTCTAAGTGCTGGACGGCCGTTTCGTTCCGGTATGGGACTCATGAACAGTGCGCATTCACGACTCCTGCTACTCCCAAGACTTGAATCTAGGACCTTCGATCTAAGCCGGCATCCAACAGCGGTAATGTCTAACTGATCAATCTAGGGATTTTGCGCGGCCTCACTCATTTGTCTTCGGTAGTAACAGCCCACACCTGACAGAGTTGAATTCCACTGGTCACGTCTTCTCACCAGAACTCCGTGAATTTCCTCACGGAGCTAGTCACTAGTGAGCACAATGATCGATTCATAGTTTCAAATGAAAATAGTTTCTTAAGTATATAGAATATGTCCACTCAACCTCTTTTTTAAAATATGTTAAATAACGCATTAAATCTATCAAAAGCTAGTCAGATGAAGATAAACTAAGTTCCAGTATTTCCAAAGATTGAAATTAGGTTCTCTGTGTTTAATTGCAGCCAGTAATAAGGTCTGAGGGGTGAAATAATTCTAATGACTGCAAAAATGTTATCATTAAAGTGTTTCAGATATTCGACGTCTGCAACATTACTGCCATCTCATATTGATAAGGAAAGCTCAGTTCCAAAAACAACACACTTTACAGTGACACAAAAGTGTCAGTAATTCATAAAAACCGATTCCATCATTTTTCTCTTCCAGTCTTAATTTATCCTTTATTTGTATACTACTAAAAATGAACGTGTAGTATTGATGAAGTATACAAACACATAGTTTGTACATCAAAATACGTGACTCATTGTTACAGACATTACGAACTATGCCACGTAGAGGACATTGAAACTCAGTCTGTTTAGGTACCTTTTCTGAGAAAGGGAGATTATAGGGGTACTTGAGTCCTACGTTCTCTAGTGTATGAAATTGCGATAACACCCTACCATGTATGGTAAAGTATAAGTTGAATAAAGGATTATCAAAGCAGATCCATCGACATTCGACAGTGTTAATCTGGAACTTCCATTTTGAGCACCACTGGGCAGCTTGAAATACTGTTTTTAAGAAATCCCATCTAGTCTGTTCCGTTTCGTAATAACAGAATTGCTATCAATTCACCGTAGCCACATTTCAGGCTAAAGAGTGCATATTGACATTAAGTTTGTTCCTAATTAATCTTTAAACAAGTTAACAACTCTATACCTGTCAAACTTCCCTCGAAATCCTAGTGACGAGAAACAAATATAATTAGAACGTTTTAATAGTATTAGAGAAATTTGACAAGTAAGTATCAAGTTCTTGACACTTAAGTTAGTACACAAGTTACAGATAATAAAACTCTCTATTAATCTTTATAGGACAAATAACAATGCATTTTAATTCTCGATTCCAGATTTTACATATTTCTCATAGGTGTAACGATTGATGCCGACCAAGAACTTTGGATAAATGTATTGTCCAAATCCATTCAATCATTCTGACTTGTGTGTATGACCTTGAGCGTTTGTGTATGATAGTGTGTCTTTATAAATTTCATATCCTTTGTACTTATATTCCTACCACTCAAGTTTGCATGCTTTTATTAAGCTCTTATCGTTCGCCTACATTGCCAATTGTCTGAAATGCGTTCCTCAAATACTTTCATATCAGAATTTTTACATAGGTTGTTGTTGACGGCATTTATAGACACAATACAGTAAATAGGATATGTATTTTATTATTATAATTATTCTGTATGGTACTGTAGTCAGATATCAGGCACCAACTAGCGTTAAGGGTTTTAATCAGTTATTTTGCAAGAATATACGTCAGTGAATATGAACAGTCGACTACAAGCTTTATTAACACATCGGTCTCGTGGGATTTTCGTAGATTGTAAAATTTACACGGGTTGTAGCTTCTTGTACTGTAGTGTTTTGCTTATTTTATCTATCAGTTTGTTCACTTTGATTCCAATATTAAGATTTTCAAAATATCTATCTTGCGTATATTGCTTATCTTTTTTGCAGTCTTATGTATTCGTAATAACTGTAGTAATTCCTCTTAACTAATCTTGTACGAACAGTTTCATTATTTCTACACAATTGTTAAATTTTGTCCATGCAATTATATAACTGAGAGATATGCCCTAACGGATTGTAAAATGTGTATAAGAATATCATGCAATTTGTACATGATTTTTCCTTACATTCATTTTCCGAAAATTTTCAAAATAGCACAGATAACTCAGTGAGAGTTATTTTGATAGAAGTAAGTGAGATGAAGTAATTGATTTGCAAAAAAGAGCTAATAAGAAAAATGAACATGAAAATCACCTGCTTATTGATAAATGTACATTTATTGTGCATTCAATTTTTGAAAATTGTTGATAATTGAAGTTCTGGCCAATAAGACTATACCTTTTTATATTACTGAGTAATAACTTTTGATAACATTATTATTTGAACTTGTGACAATTATTAGATTCGACGATAACAGGTTGATAAATAAATGATGCCTTATTATATACTGAAATAATAACTGCACACATTAATGTATTTTAACACATGATGGAGTCTCGTTGTTCACCATAATCATATACTTGAGCTACAAATTTTCGGTGAGACTATAATTTATTGGACAGATTTCAGATAAGAAGTCTTGAATTTTTGAGCGAAATTCACTGGTGCATGTGGTTAGACGTTATTTTGGAATTATTGGCTCATATCGATCTGTGATGAGAACCCTAAATTCTAACTATACATCACAACTTCACTTTCTCATGCTAATTTATAAACCTCCTTAAACACCAATAAGCAGGCTAGTCCCTTGGAGATCACTTTGGTGTCGCTCAAAAGTCGACTATAATTTATAGCCCCACCACATTATCCCCATCATCTCATTTTTGGCATGGGTAACTAAATGAATTCGATGTAGTGGGTAAGCATTAAACTTGATAATTGGGTTGCCACATCACTGGCCATTGAATAACCTAGTAAGAGTTTAATTTTCATTGAGGACTTCATTTTTATGTATCAAAATCATCTGAGTATGTCTTTTATAAACATACTAATGTAGTGCACCTAACTTGGCAGATAAAAATAATGGATAATATTATTCGGAGATATTTAAAAACTCACTTGTGTTCTACAAATTAGTTTCATTCATCTCTAATTTGAACATGTACGAGTTGTAGAAATGCTTTTCGAAAATACGCTAGTGACCTTGATAGTTGATGCATAGTGAAGAGTAACCTTTTGACAGAGAAAAATTGTAGGTGTTCTTGTTGCAATTCATCTAAAAAATTCACACGTGGGTGAACATTGAATACTTTGTCAGTAAATTTTCTAAATCCGATTTAATGATCAAAAGGAACGAACAAATTTAAAGGAAATATTTTTTTAAAATGACAACTCTGCTACTCAAGTGCTTAATACTAACCTAGCCGCTTTCTAACTTCAAATACATTTACAGTTCAGCCCTGAATATTAAAAAAATGTTACGAAGTGAGTGATATGCTTGAAACCATTACGAGTCACCTTACTCGGCAAACGAAAGCGAAAACAAATGATGTAGTGACACGATGTGCTATTCTGATTCGATTGTCCTAATTTTGGATTTTGTGTCTTCGCACATGAGCTGATCAGTTGACCTTCTAATCACATAGTCCACCCGGAAAATCCTTGAATGTTACTGGTTGTAGTATTTTAGTACGCTATTTTTGTGGCTCTCCCAAGGACGTTTCCATCATGTATAAATAAGCTCGATTTGTGTGCTTGTCAACCTCATATTTTCTGGCTGCTTTTAGAATACACTTTCTACGCCAGATCAAGACTTCTTCAGTTAGACGAGGCAACAGATTAGGGTAGCCTATCGTGGCACTGGATCATTGTCTCGTTTATCGACCAAGGTGAACTCGTAGTAGTTTCAAGCATATTAATTGGCAAAGGTAGTTTTGGAAACATGGATCCTTCTAAACTTGAATTATTACTTGAGCAGCAACTGAAACTAATGCAGATGTTGACAAACATGAAGATTTCCCCTTCCACACAGCCTAGCTCATCTAATGCAACCACAGTTTCATCAGTAGACGGCATCGCAAATAGCGTAGCTGAATTTCATTATGATCTTAATGCCAACGTTACTTTTGACATGTGGTTCCGGCGTTATGAAGATCTTTTTAAGTTTGATTTCGTCAATCAAGATGATGCTTGGAAGGTTCAGCTGCTACTCCGAAAGTTGGGTGTAAGTGAGCTGGACAAGTACTGTAATTTGATCCTGCCTTTGAACCCAGGTGATTGCTCATTCTCAGATGCAGTCAAGATATTAAGCCAACATTTCGGTGACAACTCGTCATTGTTTAATACTCGTTATCGATGTTTAAAGCTAGTTATGAACGAAGACGATGATTTTCTGACGCATGTGGGCATCGTCAACCGTGAATGCGAACGCTTCCGGTTGATGTCTTTGTCTGAAGACTAGTTTAAAGCCCTCACAATTAGTGTCAACTTAATGAATGGACTGACTTCAAAAGAAATATCAATAACACAACTAA